GAGTGTGTGTTTGAGTGTGTGTGAGTGAGTGTGTGTGTGCGCTTTAGCGCAAGGGTCGCCTTGTCTTAATGAGTGGTTAGCAGGTAGGCCTGCAACTTATTTCCCCTCGTATTCTCTCCCTCTCTTTCTAACCTCTGTGCCACCTTCTCATTCCACTCCAGCAAGTAGGCTAGTAAAGATTTTTTGTCACTTTTTATACCCTGTAAACATGTTATCAGCAAGTTAAGCTAATAGAGAGATATAATCACAGAGCGACTTATATTCTTTGGAATTACCAAATTATGATATTATGAAAATAGGTTTAGATTTTGATATTGCAGTGAAAAGTTTGAATTGCACCACAATGAATTAAAACATGGATTTCGAGCCAGAAATGTGTTTTCAACTTTAAATGTAGTTTTGTTATAGAGGTCAAGCCATGACTAAAAAGCCCTGGTTTTTGAAAATCGGTTAACTTTTGGCAAAGTTATTGCTGTGGAAAGTTTTGACCTTTGCAACGCAGAATTAGTTTTCCCACTTTCAATGCAGTATTAATATTTTTAAATCATTATCAAAATCCCTGGATTTTGCAAAATGGATAACATTTGAGTTATGGCTGTAGAATGTTCAGTTTTTATACAAAATTCGTACCTAAATCCTATTATTTGGCGTCGAGCGAAAATCATGTCTCCAAATTGACATCAGGGTTAAAAACGAATTGCTTTTGAATATTGGTTTAGTCTGGACAAAGTTCTAATGAATTTTATATCCATAAAAAAAAACGGAAAATCTCTTTTATGTATGAGCTTGATGAGCACAACATACATCAAGTTTATATTGGACTATCGATGATTGCACTAAATCGATAAATATCGAAATGCATTGCAGCATTATTATTAATTGATATTACCAAGAATTATCGAGGTCTCCTCTAAAAATTACATGCATACATATCGCTCACTCAGTCAGTTCTGATTGCAGGGTGTAGATCTTGACCACAGAGTGTACATAATCAGCAACGTGTGTAATAAGGTTGATGAATTTAAGCGTTTCGTGCTGCGTTATATCATGTAATATGCACACACACACACACACACAGAGAGAGGGGCACACAATTGCTACTTATATATGCACATGCATATATGAATGAATGGGAAACATAAGCGAGCCGCTGCAATTCCATTGTTCAACATTTGCAGCAGCCGCAAACGCTTGTCTCCCTCCTTGTCAGTGTGTGTGTGTGTGTGTGTGTGTGTATTGCGGTTTTTGTATGCATGTGTGTGTTGTGCCTTATGCTTGCTTATGCTGTCAGATTGTTTGACTTTGTATAATAAAAAAGGCCTCTTTAAAAACATTAGCAACTTTTGTAGGGCCTAAACGCGCCGCTAAATGTGAGAAGCCAGCCAAACACAGCAACAACAGCAACAACAGTGGCAACAACCACTTGAAATTTCACATTCAACTCCCCCGTCAACATAAACATACATACATATGCACACAAAACTTGGTACACCCTGTGTGTGCCTACCTCTCCCACCCCCCACCTCCCCTCAACAGAAACAGAAACAGAAAAAACGGCCACCTGTCATCACTCGTGCTACACTGAAGAAGATTAGGCTTATAATTGGAAGTTAAAGAACAGGAATAGCAGCATATATTTCTTTATTTATATTTATATTTAAAATGATTCTCTCTCTTCCTCCCCTTCCGACATTAATCCCAGCCTAATCTGAAAACATATGCATTAGTCATGAAATTGTGCCTTACAAGCAACCTAGTTCTTCATCTAATAAGGATTATGCACAACATTTAATCTCGGTTTTCAGTTTGTCGACTTTGTGCTTAAAGCGCTTACAATCATGTACTAATTGAGAGAGAAAGTCACAAATTTTTCACGAGGGGTTTTCACTTTCCTTTCCACAACTCCTGCAGGCAGCCAAACAAAATATTTTTCGACTCAAGGAGTTCAACTTACACGCACGATTCAATTTTATTTACTTATTTTTAGTATACTTTATTTAAGTAGTGGTCTATGTACTATTTGCTGTCTATTTCTCTCGGTGTATAGGAAAACATTGTCAGTTGAAGCTCTGAGCTGTTGTTGCCACTGATACGCGCCTGCAAATGTTTCCTTAGCGCCTTTGGCACATCTGCCCACTGACAAACATGGAATACTCTGCTTTAGCATACATCATGCTGTAAATCATATTAAAGCCGCTTGCTGCTCCTGCTGCTGCTGTTGTTGTCCCTCCCTGCCCCTCCCTCCGTGCCTTCCTTTTGTTTGTTATGACGCCTGCAGCATTAGAATAGTGTCAGTGGAATGTGGCAAACGTGCAGGGGGCATGCCCCTCTTTGTGACTTCATGAGCAGCCACGCAGACACGGACAATTATGTTAACGCATTAACATATTCACAACAGCCACAATAGAGTGTCTGTTAACATACAATGTGGGTCACATAATTAGGTATAGTTAATTATTCTTTTATGTTATCTTTTATAGCAAGCACATAGTCGATAAATAGCTATTAAGTTGTTGCTGGTGCTTGTAAAAATGGGAAAGGGACGCAGAATGGTAGTAAAGTATATATATTCTTGATCTGCAACAATAGACGAGTCGATTTAAAATTGTTCGTCTTTATGAACAAGCCTTAAAAATGCTAATTGCAATCAGCAAGTCGATTATCTAGTTTATTTCCCAGTCGAGCTCTGTCTGTTAGTGCATTCTAACTTTACAGCAGCTGTCTCCATTTATGTGCCCAGCACTGTAGACCTGACTTGCTGCTCCTCAACACCTTACTTCAGTTCGCCCCCCTTCAATTGCCAATCATCCGTGAGTTTTGAACTACTAATTGCGGTCGCTTCTTCGCCCGCTGTCCTTTGACTTTGGCAACAAACCTCCTTCTGTGATACTGCCAACCCTCCACCCTACTCCGCCCCTGTCTCCACTCTAGCCAAAATCAATTTGCAAAATTTGTATTGTGAAACTGGGGCTGAAGCTACCTTTGGCTGTCAGTTTTGAGTTCGTTTTCACTTTGAGATTTTGCCTAGGGTTTGTTTACCCCCTCACCCCCACTCTTCACTCACCCCCTCGCAGCCTGTTTGTCTGTGTTACATTTAAATGCCTGAATGGCCATTTACACATGTCCAACATGACATAATCGGTTTTTTCGGAAATTATTTAGCAAGTGCCCAAAAATTTACTTGTAGCATAAGCATTGATAAACACAGACACACACACACACACACACTTGGCACACACACACACTGCGTTTGGGGGCCACAAATGACATCTCTGGGATTTGATAATAAACTAATTTGCGCTGCGTTTCACTCATTTATTTTGTTGCTCCCCTCGTTGTTGCTGTTGCTGTTGCTGTTGTTGTCCTTCTCTTTTATTCATGAATACGCAATTAGTGTGCAAATTGAAGTGTGACTAGTGTGTGTGTGTGTGTGTGGCTCTATGACTCTATTTATTATTAACACTAAATGATTTTAAGTACTAGTATTTAATTTCAATGCTCGCTGGCAATTTCTTTCTTGTTCGTTGTTGTTATTCCTTGTTTGTTGCTGGCAGTTGGCCAAATACTTTTCAAGTGTGTGAGAATCGAGGGGGGAAAACAGCTAAAAGTGGGCTATGAAATTTTTGTCGAAATGCCTCAAAGTCAGACCAGACATGAATTGGCCATGTTTAGCAAATAAAACATTGACAAAAATACTGCAAAGCTAAGCAACTAAAACAACACTAAAATGGTTTGTTATATGTCAAAGAATGTCAACTGGGAAAGGTGCAGCTTGAAGCAAGTTGTTACTGTCAATTTATGACCATTAAAATATGGCTCGTTACTCACTTAATATTAGAGTCTTTAAGCTTCACTATGTTATTTCTTAAATGTATATTTAAACAATTAATTCCATTATGAATCAATCTTCGTTGTCGTTAACATATAAAGAGACAAATTTAGGCTTGATTCAAATAAAAAATCGTATAGGTTTTTATAGGCTTTGGAAGTAAATGATAAAATAATCAAATAAGAAACAAATCACTTTCATTTTTGTCAAAGATATCCAATTGTTTCTATGGCAGCTATATAATAGATTAATTCGATCCGATATATGTATCACCTGCAGCAAAATATCAACTATATTCCAAGTTTCATCAAGAGCATCTAGACCGCATAGAAACAAAGGCAGACAAACAGATGAACAGCTAGCAAAAATATATATATATCTTTATTAAACATATACATAAATATTTATACAGTCTAAGAGGTCTGCCACTCCTCATTACAAAGTTCACAACAAAATTAGAAGCTAATCAGAAAGCGGTAACCCCACTTTAATACAAATTTACGCTGCACTCTTAAATACTTGATGTGTTTTGGCCTTTAAATAATGCAACAGGCTTTTGTCCTTGTCAAAATCTCCTGTGTGCAAATTAACAAAAACATTTCATGCTAAAATCGCGCACACAAATTGTCAAATTTACCAACAACTGTTGCTATTTATGACAGACAGTTAAAGGTAAAAAAAAAACAAATACAAATAATGAAGCAGATTACATATTAATGTTGCATGTTGAGGGTATGTTGTAGGTATAAATTTAATTTGTGGCACTGAAAAATGAAAGTCAACTCATTAGGTGTAAGAAGAAAAACCTGTGTAACAATATCAACTGCATGTCAAATAATTTAAACAACATTTTTAATTAAAATTAATGGCAAATAGCAAACGCAGCGTGTTTTCAGCTCATTTATAACTATGTTTTCGTGTTAAAAAAAAATAATTGGCTAATTGGATTTACAACTCAATTGGAAATGTGCAACCGTTGGATGAAAGCATATGTTGCCGCCCTCGTAATGGTCTAATAACTGGCCAGCTGGCTAATCGAAAGAGATTTGGCTTACCAGTTGGATGATGCTCCAAACCGCGACGCCAAATTAATTGGCTATAGTTTAATTAAGCTAGTCAACTGATTAATAGACGCCCCATTCACTTTGTCTCATTTTTCTCATTTTTACAGTACTTCACACCTCGGCGAGTTTAGCGTTAAACGAGAGCTGGGATCCAGACGTCAGGTGAGCTATAATATATCTATATAAATATATATATAATTATGTATGGCATAAATTATGATACTAATTGTGTGATTTCTGCCGCAGAGACGATATGGAAATGATGTTGAATAAAATAGTTCCCGAAGGATTGCCGTATCGGCATTCGTGCGAAGGACCCGACGATATGGCAAGTCTTGATTTAAGTACACTCAGACAAACAAATTGCCCTCAATTTTAGCAAATTGTGTTAGTTTTAGCCAGTCTTGCCAGTCTTGCATTTCTAAATTTGAAAAAATATCATTTAAAGGCGATTTGCCTTGCCAGCTAAATTCTAATATAAAAGCCGAGAAAAGATATTTTTTTCTTAATAATAGAAAATATTTATAGACATAGAAAAACTCCAGGTTTTTGGGCATCGATTTATGGCAAGCCTTCTTTTTTTTTATAAATATTCTGATATGTAGAAATTATTTCTAAAAACTAGAAAATCATATTTCTCAGGGCGATTTTGTAGCTGAGTGTGGAGATCTTGAAATGAATGAATAACTTACTTGAGCTTTTCCATTTATTTGTAGCCCGCACATGTGAAGGCATGCTTTTTGGGCAGCTCACTGACAATCCCCATTACCGATGGCAAACTATCGCTGGGCACGTGGCAGGGCGTTTGGCTCTGCGAGCATCGCGACCAGGCCGGCAGTCGGAAGCTGGTAATCACATTGACCGGCTGTCCGCGCGAACAGGCCGTACGCAGTCCGTTGTCACCCGTCTCGCCGATCGCCAGTACGTCCAGTTAGGGGCGGCCTCGCTCCACCCGCGACAGCCGGTAATCGCGGGGGAGCGACAATAATGACATCATTTCGTCGAGGAAGTTGATTTTACAAAAGAATTTAGCTAGAGCCACAGCACAGCAGCGAGCAGCGGCCGTTATTGCCGCTGGCCGTGGTCTAATTGGAGCCGGATCCGTTGCAGCGCCGGCGCCACCATCTGCAGCAGCAACCGTTGCAACAACAACTGATAAAATGCAACGTTTACTTTTGCGTCAACGTTTGCATTTGAATCTCAATTTAGATGTAACGGATGCAACGCTGCAGGATGGCGTCGATATTGATGATGTTGATGAGGATGTCGGCGATGATTATTACGTGGAAGATGATCAGGATCTGGATCAGGATCATCGTTCAGGTGTTAACGTTGCCGATGTCGTCGTTGCTCAGGGCAGTGGGCAGCGACATGATGTTGGTGATTATTATCTACAAAAAACCGTCACAACAGTGCCTCAAACCAAACAACAACAACTAAGACATAAGATCACCACAGCAACAACAACAACAACAGGAACAACAACAACAACAACAAGCAGCTCATCAACAGCATCTACTAGTGCATTAGCTAAATTCAATCGTATACTCGACGCTGCCAAACTGGAGCCACATCGTGCCTCGTCAGCGTTTAGCAGCGCAACGTTGCAACAACGCCTGGCGCTGGCCTATCCAGAGCAACAACAACAACAGCAGCAGCAACAGCAGCAGCAAGAGTTGCGACAAATCAATGACCTCCCACGTAGCAATAGTCGTGGCATTGCCGTCGTTAGCACACCATTAACATTGCAAGCACTAGACACAATAAAACTCAAGACGGCAGCAATGCAACACAAGCAGCAGCAGCAACAACAACAGCTGCAACACGACGCCGCTGAACAAACGAAACGAAATGATGTGCATTATTTGTTGAAACAGTTAAATAGTTTTAGTGATATTGAAGAAATAGAAATTGTTGATATGAAGCAAAGACAGCAGCAACAGCAACAGCAAAGGCAGCAACAACAGCAGCAACCACAACCACAACAGCAACCACAACAGCAACCACAACAACAACGCACAACAGCTGCCTGTTCGAGCTCGTTGGAGCTCATGCCCATGTCCAGTTCAATGTTGCCAATTGCAACGGCAGCATTGGGCACTTCGCCCTCGACACAGTCACACAAGGGCAACTTTATGGTTAGTCAGGATAGTTGTTCGACGACCCGTTTGCAATTCGATGATTATCTATTCGAGTCGTGCCACTATTTGGAGACAAACTATTTTGCGGCTACGTATCGCACTGCCATGGTCGAGAGCTCATCGCATGAGTTTCGGCCGTCGACGACGACGCCGACGAGCACACGCTCGGACAGCTTTGAGCTGCACGAACTTGAGCCGCCGAGCGTTATCTGTAAAGCGGCACCACCACCACCATATGGTCAGCAACAGCAGCAGCAGGCCGAGGTGCGGGTGACCAGCAGTGGTGTCCAAACAGAGCTCACTGTCGATTCCCAGCTCAGCAGCGGTGCCAGCGGTGGCAGCAGTGGTTCCGGCAGTGGTTCGCCACGTGTGCCACCATTTTTCATTTGCTGCTACACGCCGCTAGATCGGTGGCGTGCCAGGCGTCTGGGTGCCGCAGCGGCTGCCAAGCGTGCTGCGAGCACCGAGAAAAATGGACATGCTGTTTAAAAAGAAAGCACACACAGAACAAAAGCAAAAGCAAAAGCAATAGCAAAACAACCAACCAACCAACCAACCAACCAACTAACTAGAAGCTGTGCTGTTTCATTTGCGATATCAACAAGAGTTTCCATTTCGAAGACACTCAAGAACAAACACACTTCGCCTATTAATCATCAATTTTTTATAAACAATTTAATACACAACACAACACACAATCATTCGCACATTTTTGCAATACACAACAACAACAACAAAAAGAAGACATTTCGATAGTAAAAATATATGAAATTTGCATAAAATCATTTTGTATAAATGAAAAAATGGATATTTAACGCATATGTCATAATAATTAAAGCTGTAATTGAATTGTTTCATAAATAAAAAATAAAAGTAATAACAAAAACCACGAGAAAAAAACCTAAATGCAAAAACATATATTGTTAACAAGTGCAAAATACATCAATTTGTGTAGAAAGCGAGAGAAAGTTAAAGACAGTCAGACAGAGAGAGAGACAGACAGAGAACGAGAGAGAGAGAGAGAGCTTATATAGTAAGTTGCTTAATAAATAATACAAATAAATTATATTAAATAAATAACTATGTAAACTAAAATGAGAGAAGCGCACACGCCAAAAAATATATAAATATATATATATATGAATCATATTCAGTTGTCCGTTTTGTCAGCAAACACATTCTGAATTCCAATTTCTCAAACTGAAAATGATGTAAAGGAGTGTTCCTAAATCAAAGCCACTTAAAATAGTCAAATTCAAAACACACAAAAACGAAAAGAAAAAATATTCACTATCTGAATTCCACTTTCGTATACTTCTTGGAATTATCTGAAAGTTAATAATAAAAGAGTGTTCCTAAATCGAGCTGGTTTTAAAGCTGCTTTGCCTCGAAAAGTGTAAAGTAAAATTCAGAAGAGATAATTACCATTTATATTCGAATCAATCGCCAGGTACAGTTGCGTGTGCGCTTTATAGTTCAGTTCGATCACAGAGAAAGGCAAGCAAAGAGCAGCCAATGCAATTGTTACATCAACCAACACTATAGAACGCTATATAACTGAACAATCATGTTCTCGATATCGTTTTTGTTTTACTTAAATTCGCAACAAATTCCATAGCATACTTTTTAGGGCATTACAAATATTTCACTCAGCCAAAAAGTTTGCGTTCAAAAAACCCGAAAGTTTTTTGTGTTTCGTGTTTTATGCAATTTTTGTTTGTTAATATAATTTGTAAGCATTGTGAAATATGAAAACTGGAATTATTCGTGCAGCAGTCTGTCTTTGGTTTTCTGATTTCCAGTCTATTGTGAATCCAAAATAAATTTAAAAAAAGACAAAAAACCAAAACAAAGCAATATTAGTTTTTAAAATTCTGTAAATCATGTGTAGAATTTTGGTCAATTTTGTTCGTAATGCTGGGAAGAAAAAACGATTCAAGCAAAACTAATCCATAAATGAATAATGAATAATTACATTACATACATAGAGATAATATCACTAAGCTTAAAAAAGACACGCGCTTTAGTTAAAACAAAACAAACCAAAAAAAAAAACAAAAAACAAAACAAAATTTCGATTCTAACACAATAAAAACGAAAATGTTTGAAAAAAATAATCAGTTGTCAGAAACATTGTGTATTATTTATGTATAAAACATATATACAGCCTTAAATTTTAATTGGGCATATCAGATGCTGACATTATTGGAATACTAGCAAATAGTGAAAGTAATTTCAGGTTTTTCAGCTCAGTTCTTCCAAAATATAAAAAAACAAAACAAAACAAAACTTACAAAAATAAAATACTTTAAATGATTACGAGTAAAAAAAGAAAGAAAGAAGGAAAGAAAAAAAGAAACCAAACAAATGCCTTTTACATGCCCACGCGTACACTAATGGAAAACCAAACCAAAACATTAACTAATTAAATACAAATAAGCTAAAAAAAAAAGAAAACAAGAAAAGAAAGATGGAAAAATGTTAATCGAGAATTAAAAACGATGGAAACGGACTTGGTTCAAATGGTTCAAATTTCACATATTATTGTTAAATGTGGAAAGCGAAACGGCGAACAACAATTGTTAAGTGGGTAAAAGTTAGCAGAAAACAAATAATAATAACTATTGTTGTATGTTTTATTCTGAAGCGCACGAAATAATAATAAATAAATAAACTAATAGTACATGCAAATGAAAAAATGTAGCTAAAGAAAATGTAAAGGTCAAATTTTTGTAAACTTTTTGATATGTGATGATGATTTGAATAAATTAAAGCCACAAAAACAAACAAAACAAAAACAAAAAGGAAAAGAAAACCAAAAATATTATTACATAACTTAGCCATTAGATATTTAAACTAAATACAAAAATAAATAAATTAATAATAAAGTAGCGCAACGCAAAAAATTAGTGCATAATGATAAAAATACAAACAAACCAAGAAAAAAAAGACAACAATATGAAATGCTAGTTAAAGTGAATATATAAAAAATAAAATAAGAATGATGAAAACTTGTTATACCCTAAGTTAGTCTCGGCAAGCCGAAGCACTTGACTAGCCCTGATTTCCCCCCCTGCACCACCCCCGCCCACGTTGCAACATGCCACAAATCTTTTGATTTGTCTTCGAGTACATTTCTGTGTGACAACCTTCGAGTTCATTTCTGTTGTTTTTTGTTTTTATTTTGGGGCGGTGCGGGGTAGGTGCTATATCTCTAGCAATATTAATGGCAATTCAATTGTATTAACGACATTGATAAATCTGACAAACCAAAAACAAAAGAAGAAGAAGAGGAGGAAGAAGAAGAAGAGATGTGAAGCAGAAATAATTTAGCGAGCATTTTGTAGGAGCGTGTAGTTAAAAACTAAATAATATATTTATCAAATTGAATAGTAAATCGTATGTGCATAAGTAGCGAAATATTCAATTGTAAATACAATTTTTAATGTACATGTTTATTTTTTGGGTTCTTGTGTTTTGTTTTTTGTTTTAAGACCGAATGCTTGATGATTATATATTTCAACTGTTTATCATTTGGTCTCTCAAAAATAAAACACACAACAAACTGTTAAACAAAACAGACTCACACACAGAGACACATACACCCACAAAGACGGACACACAAACAAAAAGAAGCTTTAAATAATTTAATTACAAATACATGTATTAACGGTAATAATTTTGATATCATTATCATTGATAAATTCCATTGTAGATACAAACTTGTATTTGAAACAAATTAATTAATTAACTAGCCAGCTAAGTCAATGTCGCCTAATGTGAGTTCTATAAGCATAAATAAATAATAAAAAAATAAAACACACACACACACACACACCAACTCAAACTCATACACACACATATTAACTATAAAAAATGCAACTACTTTTCAAATAACAAAAAGCAAACGAAAAACCGAAAAAAAATATATAAATAAAAGCAACTAAAACAGGCCTAAAAACACCCAACACAACATCCACAACAAAAACAACAACAACAAACACACCAAAGCTGAAACACACACACACAAACACACACACAAAGCTTTTATAAAACTATTTAAAAACATATATATTTAAAAATGGAAAAAGAAAAAAATAATAATAATCCTGCCAAGTAACATTCGAATACCTGCTTGATGAAGATACACCCGCTTTTGCTAAAAGAAAAACCAAAACAACAAAACAAAAACCCAAAAGAATAATGTATAAATAAAACAAAATAAAGTGAAAGGCTAATTACGATTTTTATACTTTGAATATAAGGATTTTTTATACTAAACGTAAACTCTTGGAAATGAAACAAAACAAAAAATACCAAAAAAAAAAAAAAAAAACCAAATAAAAACTGAACGATTTTTTGTGGGGTATCAGCTAAAAGTAACGTATTTTTTAAAACGGATTGATATTGATTTGATGCAAAAATCGTACTTATAGTCATACATATATATGTATATATATATATTATACGTATGTATACATTATATATATATCTATATATATAAACCCTAACTGCAACTATGGAACGACAGCACAAATTTTGTTGAACAAAAACACACATAAAGCAAAAAACAACAACAACAACAAATAACAGGAATCAAATACTAAGAAAAATAACTTTTTTCAAATTCCAAACACACACACATACACTATCACACATACACAGCAACAAGAAATCAAATATATATATACAAATCCTCAACTAAATATATGAACATGTATGTATGTATATCTAGCTAAAGAACCGCACAAATTGGTTACCGAAAGAGTATGCTTTATGAAACCTCTTACCCCTCCTCCTCCCTCTCCCAAATATCCCTCTCCCAAAAACACAACAATAACAACAACTACAACACAAGCGACACACAGCAGCAACAATTTCTAGTTAAATATCACATTTGTATTTTTCCGCCTATAATCGCGATTTTTGTATGCGCATACAATTTGTAAATAAATATTAATTAATTTTACCTCAAAACGAATAAATACAATACAAAGAATACCAAGCAAGAAGGAAAGAAGAAAAAGAATTTCAAGCATTCATTTGTTAACGTTTAGTTTTCTCCTAACTGCATTTGTACTATGCACAAAGTGTGTTTCAACCAAACAAAACAAAAGAACAAAAACAAATGAAACTGGATTGTTTTTACTGTCACTTGGTGCATGTCTATCATCTATGTATTAGATATCAAAGAAGCATACTTTAACGAAAAACAAACGTCAACTACAATAAATGAGCAAGTGGAGAAAAGAATATTAAAAAACAAAAGCAAAAACCAAAACAAAACAAAAAACAATTAGTGCAATAAATAACAAATTATTCGGTATAAATGTAAAATTAAATACATTTAAGTAAACGCTTTGTAAAATACATATAAACCATTTATTAAAATACAAATGAAAAAAAGAATGGAAAACAATAAACAAAAAAAATAAAAAATAAATAAATGAAACACTATTGAGTAATAAAAAGCGTTATGCATTGACATTGACACACGTGATTCGATATCTCATCTTATAAGCATTAATCAATAAGATAACAATAAAGAAATAAATTAAAGAAACATCTCTCCTTTTTTACAAACTGTACAACTTTAATATCAAGCACAGTGAGTATGACAAAAAAAAACCTTATTAGTTATATCATTTTTAATTTGCTTTCTCGTTTTTCTTTACTGTATTGCGCGTCCAACGCCATCAAAAGCTTTATCCTTGTGATCGGCAGCATTGGCACGCGCTTCATAATTGCAAATGGTAACGCCGTGATAATGAGCCTCACTAAACTCACCACGAAGACCTGTAAACGTGGTGGATTCTTAGATGTGAGTAAATCATTTAAAAGGCTAGACTAACTCACCAATATAGTAGATGCGCGTGACATCATCGCCAAAATTACTGGGGAAATAGAGCGACAAATGATGTACCGATGAAAAGGTCACAACTCTGAGATAAACATAAATTAAGGGAAATTATATATAAATATAAATGATTTATAAGTCAATTTGAATCATTTACTTGGGCGAATATTCGATTTCACCGCGATAATCGCGCGTCAGTTCAAATTCCTGGTCCGCCTTGCCATGTGCATCATCAAATGTCATTTTGGGTCGATTCTTAAAACTGTCAACATTAAAATATCATTAGGGAATCAATTTAATTACGCTACAAGCTCACAGTTTAACCATGTTTGGATGAGTATTATCATTGGCGCCGCTAATGATGATGCCCTTTAGCTTAACGTTGCCGGTGAAGGGTATATTGAACAGCAGCTCTTCATCCGCATCGCTTTGTACAAACTGCAAATGCAAATGTATATATAATTAATTTCAATATATATATATATATATATATATATATCATAATGCCACGCTCACTTTACTAGTATCCTGACGCTTTTCGTATGGCTTGAAGACGGTCTTGCCGCTGCCATCGGTCTCCTCGTTCAAACATTCCGTATTCTCGAGGTCGATTTTTGTATACAAACTGTATTCGATGCCCATTTCGAGGGCATTGTCGATATCGGTTGCCTCATGGCTGCAGCCATGGCCATGATCGTGCGAGTGACCGTGCGGCATTATGGTTTTAAATAATAATAAATACAATAATTGTGTGCCGAGAACTTAAAGTGCAAGTAATTGTCTTGAATGGAATTGTGCATCTTTATCGATATATCGACAAGACGCCGGGTAGCTGCCTAGCGATATATCGATTTGTTGTTTAGTGATGACACTGACTTAAATATCGTTTACTTTAAATGCATTGAATTCCTGCTCAAGGACCTTGCACAACAACAATAAAGAACAACATGCACGTTACCTACTTAAATACTTTATTTAATTAACATTAAGAAGTCGTCATATTTTTGGCCGAGCTACAGCCGCCCCATTTCGATTAACATTATTTTTATAAGCAAACATTTGATCGGGAAATATTGCACACAAATTACAGACAAACACTGTTGTTTTTTTTTGTTTTGGGTTCTGAAGTAGATTATGGCTGTTGCATAACAGTGCGTATGTATTGATAGACATCCTGGTTTGTTAGAACGCCCATGTGATCGACACCTTGCAGGGCCAGTGTGGATATCTGAGAGCTTGACTGGCCTGACCAGTGTTGACAGGCACGCAACGAACGCTGATTAACGGTGCCGTCACCCACGCCCATAATTAACTTGGGGGTTTCTCCGGCAATGTTGTCCTTTTTGTATTGCAATCTGTTTGCAAAAAATATGAGTTAATTTTGATGTTGTAGATAATAGATATTCTTGGGATTACCTTTCGACTGTGCTGATGCCGTCGCCATAGATGCAATGCAGCTCAACATCGGGTGGACTAAAGTTTTGTGTATAGCGCATCGTATCCTTGCGCATCTCCCAGCCAGTCTTGTAGTCAATATCCGTAAAGAACTGCTCCAGCTGTGCCATGGTGTAATTCTTTGATGGCGTCATCGCCAGCACTTCCGATGGCTTCCAGAACAGTGGCGATGGCAACAGCCATGCCGTTGACGGATGCGAAATCTGTTCATCGCGCAAAATCTTGGCGCTCAATGCAAACGAATCCAGATCATCGCCCATGGCATACACCTTAACGGCCTTAATACTGCCTGCCCAAGCGCCAGCGAGGCTTATCTGTCTTCGCACATATCGTGTCTTCCACTCCAGCGTCTGCTGCTGCAGGAAGACCAGCGTCATCGGGCTGCCCATGCTGTGTGTTATGAAAGTGACGGCAGTCTGATTATTTGCCTCATATGTGTCCTCCACAAGCTGCTTGAGATCAATAAAAAATTGCTGCAGCTCATCTGAACCACAGACAGAGTGGGAGAGAGATTTATATTATATATTAAATACTACATATGTTAAACATATTATACTATAGATATATCCATTAACTTACTTGGCGCCCTGCGAAAATCATAGGGTGCTCCGTGTATATTTCTACGTCGCACATAACCCATGTTAACGAGTAAGTTGCCAATATCCTTGAAATATGCACCCGCTTTGTTTAGGGTTGGATCTATCCATTCGACAACATCGGGATCACCCCAACCGGGTATGCGTGTCTCGACACCAGGTGAATTGTGTGTTGTCCGCGTTGCCTTGTCATAGTAGAGCTTGACATTGTCCACCCAACAGTAGACCATCGGTATGACCAATTGTTCCAGATCAAGCCATAGATTATACCAGTCGTGCGTCTTCTCGCAAATAAAATATGGTGAATACGATTTGCTTAGACGCACCTCGACTTGAGATCCGCCATCGCCTGGCACTGAAAATAATCAAATGCAGTCTTTGAATGACGACCTTGACCTTATTTTTTTTTACTTGGACTCAATATATTTTTGCTTTTTTTTTTGCTTGCACTTCAATCAATATTTACCAAATATAACAGGCGATAACTGAGGTTCCTTTGGAGGCGTAGGCGGAGTATTTGATTTGCGGCTAAAGGGCCAAAGACAGTTCCCAGCACTGAACAAAGTTGCGAAGAGCAGCAATCCGAATAGTGCTGCACAATGTCCGAGCTTCATGTTGGCTTGCAAATAAGTGAATAACTCAACGAAATTTCCTCAATTAACTACCGACGAGTCGTTTGTGATTTAATAGCTCACACTGATAAGGGTACTTATGTTATTAAAAAGTGCTGTCGCAAATCGAGTGAATCAGCGACGCAATTATCTATGGCAAATTATTTCGATATATTATGATACATAAATAAGTCTGCTCATTGAATTGCAAACTCAAAATCTCATTTGACCTTAGAGAATCAGTAAATGTAATTGTATCTATTTATGTTGGCGGTTGTTTTCCGCATATCCAAAATGGCGCGATGCAATTGCGTTGTAATTGTTGTTGTTATTAATATTGTGCGTTTTTATAAACAAAGAAATGTTTTCGTCGCTGCCTTATCTTCCAACTGGAGAGTTTTATTTGTTATTGTTATTTTTGCGCAGCTCCAACACAGCTGCTTGGCCAGTGTTGTGAAACCTTAATATGTTTGGCCTCTTTGGTATTTATTGTAGATATGTACATGGTGGCTGCATATATTCGAATTGGACTTGCTGCCAATGGCATATCATTTGTAAAATGTTTTTGGAAAAAATATTCTGAATAGCAGCTAGCAAATATTATTGTTATAATATAAATTCCATACCATTTTTGCAAACAGCATAATATATATATATAATTTAAATAATCACCGCTATGATTATAAAAAATCGCAAATAGAATATATCGTTTGCATCGATATCGATATATTTGTAGCAACAATTATATCGATACCGGCAAATGCACTTGTTAACCGCGTTCAAAGGCGAATTTTGTTAGTAAACCATAAAATAGCTAGAGACAATTTCAGCCTGGAAGCAAAATAAACAAACATGCAGGAGTTCTTTAGCGTGCTGTTGCCGGACGTGAAGAAGGAACTGCGCCGTGGCATCATCGAGTGCTCGAAGCGGGGTCTGTTGCACAGTACCAAATGGCTGGCGGAGATGCATCATGGCCTGAGTGATGTTAATATTGATAATGCGCCGCCAGACGATGATCGCTCGTTTAGTGAGTGCCAGCTGGAGGGCATTGCACCCGCAGAGTACAGTGATTACTTTCTGGCCAAGAGCTATTATGATGTGCGCGAATATGATCGGGCAGCGCATGCTGTGCGCAACTCGGAATCATGCGTGCCACGTTTTCTCCACCTCTACTCCACGTATATGGCTAGGGAGAAGCGACGATTGGATTCCACCACAGATCATGCCAATCTCAATGAGCCGAATCAGATGCGCGATTTGGCCGATCTGTTGGCCACCCTACGCTCAGAGCATGGACGCTGTCGCTTGGATGGCTACGGCATCTATTTGTATGGTGTGGTACTCAAAGCACTGGATCTAAATCAAGCGGCTGAGCAGATGCTGGTGACTGCTATACGCATGGTGCCCATGTTGTGGAGCGCCTATCTGGAGCTATCGCCATTGATAATGGAAAAGAAGAAGTTGCTCAGCCTGCAGCTGGGTGGACATTGGATGCGTCACTTCTTTATGGCACACACCTATCTGGAGCTCTATCTTAACGATGATGGACTGAAGATCTATGAGGATTTGCAGGCGGCGGGCTTTAGCAAGAGCATCTATTTAACGGCACAAATGGCGCTTGTCTATCACAATAAGCGAGGTGAGTGGATCTCATCTGATCTCTGGCTAACCTCTGTTAATCTTCGTTGTATCTTTCAGATGTGGATAAGGCCATTGAGCTCTTTCAGGCACTGCTCGAAAGCGATCCCTATCGCCTGGACAATGTGGACACCTATTCGAATTTGCTGTTTGTCAAGGAAATGAAAACGGAAATGGCGCAACTGGCACAAAAGGCTGTTAGCATTAACAAATATCGGCCGGAAACATGTTGTGTCATTGGTGAGTGGCCGAGTTCAACAGCTGCACAAATTAAACACTAATCCCATTTACATCTTCATGTCAGGCAACTATTATAGCATACGCAGTGATCATCAGGTGGCCATTTCGTATTTTCAGCGCGCACTCAAACTGAATCCCAAATATTTGGCCGCCTGGACGCTGATGGGTCATGAGTTTATGGAGCTAAAGAACACAAATGCGGCCATACAAAGCTATCGCAAAGCGGTTGAGGTCAACAAGCGAGATTATCGCGCCTGGTACGGCCTGGGCCAGGCATACGAGATTATCAAAATGCACTATTATAGTTTGTATTATTTTAAAATTGCCCATCAATTGCGTCCGTACGATTCGCGCATGTTGGTCGCACTGGGCGAGACCTACGAGAAGCTGGACAAATGCGAGAATTCGGTCAAGTGCTATTGGAAGGCCTGCGATGTGGGCGACATCGAAGGCATAGCGATGTACAAGCTGGCCAGTCTACACGAGAAGCTGGGCGACAACGAAACCGCTGTCCACTGCTATATTATGTACTGTGAGGATGAGCGCGCTGCCACCGATAAACAGAGCCTATATCAGGGCTTCATGACCCTGGCCAACTACTACGAGAAGAAGGGCGATTTTGAGCGGGCTGCTTACTACGCCTACAAGTGCCTCGACTCGGATGAGGTAAGTCTCCTTGGGATGCTCCATATCCTGTCTCATATCCCGTCTCTCTCTCATTCCCAGCGCAAGACGGAGGCCAAGGCGCTGTTGAAGGTTATTGATTTCAGGCGCAGCGTCGAGTGCCAAAAGAAAGCAAAGACCACAACTATGGTGGCCAATGCCGAAACGAGTTCCGAGGATGAAATGGAATGGGAACAGATGGATGTGCGTGTACGCCACGTGCCAGCGGACGATGCCAAATCAACGACAGCGACCCCAACAACAACAACTGCAGCTACAATCAGTGGCAGCGGCACATCCACTGCAGCATCAGGAGCTGGAGCAGCAGCGGGCACAGGCCAGACCAATGTGCGACGATTGCGTTCGGTGGCGGAGCGTTTGCGTCGAACGCAGCCAACGCAAAGGACGCATACAGGACCAACGGCAAATAGCACAGCGACAGCAACAGCAACGACAACAGCAGCCACCACAGCAACAATACAAACGATCAGCGAGGAGACGCCAGTGTCCACGGCGGATGCGACGGCTGATCTTACGCCGGCCGCGCCCACATTAGAGCAGCAGGCAACACAACACGATACCAGCTCCATGGAGATATCCAGTGTGTCCATTGATTAAATGTACATATCTTTTTTTTGTTATTAGCCATTCGATTGTAAAAATCTCGATTGAATGAAAGATGCAAATTTGAATGCTGTTTAATTTTTTAAATAAGTTTTAAGCTCTCATACAACAATTTGATTTTAAACATTATTATTTAAATGTCTTTATTTTTGCAAATTAAAAACTGTTAGTTGAACAAAACGAGACTTACCTGTGGCTCTTATTAGCTGGGTATACTTTTATTTAAGAGTGGATTTGTGCTCCAGAAAAATGTAGAAAACTCGAAAAGTGCTCTCTAATTTGGCCATTTAAAGTGTCCTTTGGACCACAGGTATTCATTGGCCTGCGTTATTGTTGTATATTGCTTGATTGTTGACTTGGAGCCTGGACTTATGAGAAGTGCATATGCAGCCCTAAGGATTGGTCTACTCGTATATCCCAAAATAGGAATAATTTCAATGTATTTCTTTGCATTTACTCAAATATGTATTTCTATCTATTTGTTTTGTGTAAAAAACTTAAACAATTGTACTATATGTGTGTAGATAAGTAACAATGCTGAAGGTAGTTATTAGCATGTTGTACTAGAATTCTTGAATTAACAAGATTCGTATTATTTTAAGTAAGATAATATTATTTTAGGAAGATTTAGCTCAAAATTCACATACTTAGTCCATGTTAGACAACCTGTCTCATTATTTAAATAAAGCTATCGATATGTATATAAGCTAAATGAAGGCTCTCACAGGACGCGTCGAATGCAGACATGCAGGGCGACATAGAATGAGATCAGGAGCAGCAGCAAACATAGTCCCAGTGCGGCGATATCCACACTGAACGCATCGCCAGTCATCTCAAAATCCTGGAGGAACTGCTCCGGTTTCTTGTGATAACAGAAGGCCTGATGGCATGGCAAATCTTCCCGATTATAGCCGTAAATGGCGCGCACGAAACCCTCGAAGATGTAGCGGAAAAAGGACACATCACAAAGCGGTCGCAGAAACCAGGACAGCTCGCCCATTCTGATGAAAAATCCAGAGAACAGCATAAACGGAATGGAGAGCGCCGGCACCAAAAAGATGGCCGTCTGCAAGGACAGCAAGGTGCCACCGATCACCCCAATAAAGTGTCCAATGAACGCGGTCAGCAGGCTGATCATACAGCACATGGCAAACCGATTAAATTCCGGCGGTTGTCCGGTCATAAAATAACTAATGCTTATAAATGCCATTGGACAGATCATCTGCAATGGCAAATCCGCCAGCACCTTGGATATATAGTATGCCCTCAGCGAATACCAGCCATTGTAGTATTCCCGAATAAACACTGGTGCATCGTTCATGCAGAGCAATATGGATGGCATCGCATTGCCGCAGAACAGAAAGAGTATGACGAAAAACTGGCAGGATACATTGCTGATCACCTTGGCGGCATCGTTGCCAATCTGCCAATAGACAACGCCCAGCAGCAGGGCCACAATCACGTGCATTAGCACCCGCATCTGTACGGCGATCTGTTGGGGAAGATATATAGATACATGTATATATAAGAATTTACTAGATGCCACACTCTGGAAAAACGTCCTGAATTGCAGAGATTAAAAAGTTTATAGTTTTCAGGACGAGTTTCTAAGCTCTACGTTTAGAAGGTGCTTTTTAATATACATACCCGATCCCTGAGCATGGAACGCAGAGATCTTATCATGAGGACGCGCAACTGATACCAGAAGCCCACGAGCTCCTTGGGCCGCAGGACACTATCATTTTCGGCGCTGGAATCGGGCATCTCAATGAGCGCTGCTGTTTGTGAATTGGAAGGCATAGAAAAAGAATAGATAGAGCAGTGCGAATAGAGCGAGGATAGTGATCAAGGATGCAGGAAACAAAAGCAGAACCAGAAGCGGAGGCATAAACAGAAGCAATTGGAAGGGGATCAGCAAACACCATAAATTACCGCAAACCAAAGCACAACTTACTCTGCTCATCGCCAGAAACTTTTTTGAAACTCTGTAGACCATTGTATTTGGACTTGTTTTGGTTAATGAGGAACTCGCAGCGCTCATTGGAGGACTCGCTGCATACTTCCAGAACTGCATATAAGAGATGTAAGAGATGTACAGAGAGATATAAGAGATGTACAGAAAGAGAGAGAGAAAGAGGGAGAGGGAGAAAGAGAGAGATCACATTAGTATCTGCTTTTGTAAAGCCAAACTAAATTAAGAAAATAACTGTTATATACATATGTTTACTCACCAAAATCGGACGGATTGTAGTACTGGGGACAGCTGAAGCCGGCCTCCCTGAAGCTGGCCAACATATCGCGCTGTGCGCCCGCATAGAGGACCTCACCGTTGGCCAGCACGAGGACATCATCGAAGAGCTGCATCAGACGCGAACTGGGCTGATGCACCACACAAACCACAATCCGACCATCGTGGGCCAAACGCTGCAAGTGGCACATGACCTGATAGCTGGAGGCCGAATCCAAGCCACTGGTGGGCTCATCAAAGAACATTATCGGCGGATTCGTGATCAGCTCAATGCCCATCGACAGACGCTTGTGCTCCCCGCCGGATATATCACGCACCAGTGTGTGACGGCACGAATGCAGATTGAGCACCTCGATAATGTTATCCAGCTGCGAGAAAGGGATTTATTATTATTATTATTATTACAGTCTGATCTACTAAGCCATACACTCTGAAAAAAAAATCAGCCTGAATATAAGAATTTTTTTTTTCATTTTAGAAATGCATTTTGCAATTTATAGAAAATATTGATAAAAAAAAATAGAGAAAAATTAATTTATAATTGTTAGAAAAGGAGTTTTCTGTACTTAGAAATTATTACAAAAGAAGGAAAGGATTCTTATTTTTCCTGTGATTTTCTATAATTCATGATATTTTTTCATGATATATGTTTAGGAAAACTCGAACAAGAATTTAAATTTTTGTAAGCATTATTTTTACTCACAATTTGTTGCTTTTGCTGTGTGGTTGTGGTTGTTGGCAGCTTCAAATCTGCGGAGACACGAATGGTTTCCTCTACCGTTAGCAGCGTAAGCATTACAAATTTCTGGGCTATGTAGGAGGACATCTTGCGAAAGGCGAGCAGATCCCTCTGCTCGCCATTGAGCAGAAATTCACCCGAAACACCGCTGACTCTGAAGAGTATTTGAGTAATCGCATTTTGTGAGTGAGCTGCTTGACTGACTGACTTACTTGAAACCAGCCAAGATGTTTAAGAGTGTGGTTTTGCCGGCACCGGAGGGACCCAGAATAGCGGTCAAGCAACCGGATCGAAAAGCACCACAAGTCTCATTCAGAATTTGTGTCTTGGAGTCTTTGTCTTTGCCCTTTAGCCTATAGCAAACCTGTTTAAAGTGGAGCTCCACTGCTTTTGGTCGTCTGGTCACCAACCCGTTAAGTGCAACGCTATCAGCCATTGCTAGACTGTGTTTATATATATATATGTATATATATGTATGCTGGATGTATATAGTATTAAGCACGTCTGATACGTGTTGCCCTGGTAAAAGGCAACGATCGACTGAAAAGTTAAATGCGCTTATCGGTTATTTTACACAGACTCTCTCTCTCTGTCTGTCGCTTTGTCGCTACGTCTCTCCCTCTCTCTTTCACTCTCCCTCTCTCTGAGGTTGATTATGGAAGTTCAAGTAGTTGCAGTCATTATCAACGTCGTAACTGACTCAAATCGTCAGTCTAATCCGAATTTCGGCTAAGGGTAATTGCAATCTAATCTTCACAATCCGAACTGTAAATCTACTGTTGCCTGTTCTACAAAAGAACTTAACGAGATTGATACATATTTATACTATATACTATTAATTGTAATTTGTAACTGTTTAACTGAAAAGTAATCACATTGTTGTGTCTTGTCTGCGGCCAATTGATGAATGAGTTTCATTTGACATTGATAAGATCGCGACTTGAAGGGTTATTGCATTTGACACATATTACAAATGCAGCCACTTGTACTGTAATAATACACTTAAAAAAAAGTATACTAAGGCAATAATATAGTTTCTGTTGAAGCTGCTTCTGCAATTCAATGGGAAACTATGAAGATAAATCATGATTTGAAAACGCCTCTCAGGTCATGTAACAAAAGACATAAGAAAATGCACCTGCATTTCAGCTTTGCAGTGCATTGCTTTGCCAGACTATATAGACAGACAATAAATTTGATATTTATATAGTTTCCTAGTGCATCTTCAAGTGCAATAATCTTTCTTTTTTCAAATGGTTTACATAATTCAAAAATTGCACTCACTGAAGTTTTAGATCAAGATGCATTTTTAGGTATGCCCGAAAGTATGCAACAAGTTTTTATGCTCCAAGCTTAGCTATGTGCTTCTTGCAACATGACTAATAATTTGCCTGCCTTAATCAATTATTGTCGTCGCACAACAAACTTAATTCAGCCCACTGCGTACTTGTTATGATAAACGCTATATATTATATTATAAGGGTATTATTAATGCAGTTTTGCGTAATTAACTTGTGTATTTTATTGAAATATTTTAAATATATTACTGCTAAGGCACAGCTGGTAAATAATTGATTGTAGAACAAACTCGTTTGGGTTTTTTTAACTTGGCAATCAGCGCACAAAGAACACTAAAAAAGGCTTATGATCTTTAATATACCCAGCCATATGTACATAAAATGTTCAAAATACTTATTTAAATTGATGTTCAAACACTTTGTTTTTGCTTTTTAACTTCACAAAAATTGGCTTTTCAAGTCACGTCACACAATTAAGCGACTATCCCCACTCTCGATCTGTGTATGTATAAATGGCGTCGGGCAACCGATCTCCGATCACTTTCCGCTGAAATACAAAACACAACTGAATTCAATTGCTTATTAGTTTAGTGCCGGCAAATGCTTGTTCATATTTGTCGAGTCCAGGCCCCAACATGTTTGAGTCTCAATTACTTACATGCAATGCAACTTGGAGCCATCAATTGGTTGGCTCCACACGCGGTACGCAGCTGGACAACAATGAAGTGTAAGCATTAAACAAAATTACGAATCTTGAACCAAGAAAACAACCGAGAAATCCACAAATTTTAAATAAACCAGTTTCTTGGTAAACAAAAAAGGTTTAAGAGCTATGATTCAATCGCACTCAAAAAAATTACTTATTCATTAAACAAAATTACGAATCTTAATTCAAGAAAACAACCTTGAAAAAAACAAAATTTAAAGAAAACCTGCTTAAGAAACTTATTTCAGTCAGTTAAAACAAAAAACTTCCTGGTACATGAATACAAATATACAAAAGTAGACCATAACAACCCAGAATTTTAGAGATGTTCATCTTAGGAATCTTATCAGAATCCGTTAAAACTAAAAACCATTTTTATCCTTCATGCATAACTTCTTGGTTTTTTCGCAATCTAAGAAATATTGTTAAACAAAAAGTGGGTATCCTATAAGAACTCATCTATTGAGAACGGAGAACAAAGAAATAAATGCATTCTTCCAACAAAATTGCGAACCTTGATAATTGAATACAAATGTAGACCTTGAAAGATGTTTAAACAAAACAAACTTCAAAAATGTACCAGAGTCTGTTAAAGCAAAACACTATTTTCATTCTTAAAATATTTTCGCATATTTTGTAGACATCTTGATAAACAACAATGATCTGCAAATATTACAAATTTCATCAAAATATATACTTACTATGTATATATACTTTCACAACATAATTATAAAAGACAGTCGATAATTACAAAATATTTAATATTTTTTAAAAATATGTTCATCCCAAATATGTTGAGCTTAATAAAATATGTACAAGGGCTTAAAACTAAACAATAGTTTTTGATGACTTCGGAACGGGTGAGGGACTGTGGGTGGAGGGTGGCGGGTGTAGGGTGGGGGTGACATTCATACGATTAAAAAAACAATATGGAAAGTTATGCTAGATGTGTGTATGCAAACAGCTAAGGAGTTGTGTCAAGGGGTGTCAAGGGGTCGGGTATAAATTAGATAAGTATTGTATTGTATATCACGATTTCTTCTTATGCTAAAACGCTGTTCATTTCTTTGGCACATGGTTCTCTCGGATTAAATGCTACAAGAAATCATATATATGTATAAAAACAAAACTCGATCGATTCGATGAACGGAATGTGACATCATCTGAATAATCTCAGTCGAAAGGACATGATATAGAAGGCAATAATGCGCAGCAGGATCAGCGAGCCGAGCAGGAAAAAGAAAGCCATGTGATAATTGGCATTCAACATATCCACATGCTTTAGTATATATCGCGGACGCGACAGATGACAGTACATCTCCTCGCAGTCCAAGCGCGCCCGGCCATAACCAAATATGGCGAGCATGGCACCATCCAGGCTGTACTTGAGGAACGAGACGTCGAAGAACCAGCGCAAATAGACGGGTGCATCTCGCTCCTGCAGAAAGAAACCGCTGAAGATCAGGAACGGGCAGATGAAGAACGGTCCCAATATCGCACCAAAATGCATACTGAGCGCTGCGCCCACAGTCAGGCCAATGCTTTGGGCAACCAGCGCCGTCATGAACACAATCAGAAAGAACATGCCAAAGCGCCACGGTTCCAGCGGCTGGTGGGTCATCAGATACGTGGGCACAATAAACAGCGCACTGCATATTATCTGGATGGGCAGATCGGCCAGTGTTATGGCCACATAATAAGCACGCAGTGAATACCAACGATTGAAATGCTCACGCGAAACAATCGGTATATCCAGTGGAACTGCAAATGAAAACAAACACGAATTAGATTTGAAAAAAATCAGAAAAAATAACTAAAATCATACAAAAAAATCGAACTGAAAACTGGATTGTTTCTCTTGTTTATAGAAGTAATTTATCAATATTTAAATATTAGAATATTATACTATAATAATGTCTATTAACAATAATAGCAGCCAGCAGATTAAAAAACTCTCTGGGAATTAGATAAATTCTTCTACATTTTAGAAAAATGTACTCCGAAAGAAAAGAAAAAGCCTGGTTTTTATAAAAATGCTTTCTTCTTAATAAGTTGATTTATCCTTGGCGCGTTTCTAAAATTCAGTTCGATTATTTTGCTGAGTGTATTCAGACTTACACTTGACGACAATGCCGGAGAAAGCGCAATACATGATAAACATGATGGTGTAGAAGACGTAGCGATAGTTGTTCATCGAATTGTTGGCATCATTGCCAATGCCATAGAAGAGGATGCCGATAAGGATGCCAACGGCCAGGTGGATGCCAAAGCGCATCGTTGTCAACGAACTGTCGCGCCAGATGAGCAGAAAGGTGCGCAGCAGCAGGATGCTCAGCTGTTGATAGAAGGGCGTCGCATAGATATTCTCACGCTTGCAGAGGTGTGCCGGATCTAGATTTGGCATTGACATGGTCAGCTTGGACTTGTTCTTCGTCTTTTTGGTTGGCTTACAACAATTGGCATCCGCATTGGTGCCACTAATCTCATCGCAACCCATTTGGCTACCCCAGATGTGAGACGAGAGCTCATTTATCGGTGTCATCGGTTTAAAGTTGAAGGATTGCCGGTTGCCAGTTGACATCACAGGTGGTGTTACGGGTGTAATCTTACCCGAGGCCATCATTTGCTCTGCAAGCGAATATTGAGAAGGTTCTTGACATTAGAGATGAAAGTTCACAGTCGAAAGAACTTTATTAGCTATAAAGTTAGAACTTACCCACTTTCTTGATGGCCGCCAATTGCACGACTCGCGCCGTTTTACTGTACCTATAATCATCATTGCGTCCATTGTCCATCAGTGCTATCAGCTTGTCCACCTGTCGCTCCTCCTCCGTATCATAGTCATGTGTTGCTATTTCCATTACTGTAAAACGCACAAATTATATTACAATGTCTTCTATAAAATTGACCTGAATTTTAGCAAAAAATTCCCTAAAATGAAAATCGCCCTGCAAACAAGAAATTTGTTCTTGTTTCTAGGAAAAAATTCGGAATATACGAAATCAAATTTCTAAAAATTAGAAATACTTGCCCTAAAATTCGAAAATTCCAAAAATTCTAATATTAAAAGATGAATTCCTAAAAGAGAAATGCGAATCCTGATTCTTCTTTTCTAAAATTCAGAAATTCAGTGGGAAGATTTTTAGTTTTACAAAATAAATTATATGAATTTAAAGCACTAAAATATATTAATAATAGACGCAACAAAAAAGCTAATTTTAGAGTAGTTCATTGTACATAAAAGGGGGAAAAAAGGGAATTAGAGATACTTTTGCTAAATTTTAGAAAAATTAAGAAAAAACCCGGGTTCTTTGAAATATACTTTCTGAATAATAAGCCGAGTTTACCTCGGCACCTAGAGCATGGCTAATTTGTAAATTTCAGGTCAATTCAGGTCCTGAATGTAATTGCAAACTCCTCTCACAAAAATTGCACTTACAATAGTCTGCTGGATTGTAGGATTCGGGACAGTTCAAATTGACGCCGCTCAAGAAGGGCACCAGATTCTGAGTGCCGCCGGCATAAATACACTGTCCCTCGGCAATGGCATACAGATGATCGAACATGGAGAAGGTCAATGCGCTGGGCTGATGAATTGTGCAGATCACATTGCGACCCTCCATGGCCAGTTTCTTGAGCAGCGTTATCAGCTGATTGCAAGTGGAGCTATCCAGGCCGCTAATGGAGCATAAAGAGGGAAACATTAGTTAAGCTGGACAAGAGTTGAAACGGATTTTGGACCTACGATGTGGGCTCATCCAGGACGAGCACTGGCGGATTGTTGACTAGCTCGAGGGCGATGGCCAACCGTTTGCGCTGACCACCGCTCAGATTGCCGGTGAGCGTATTCCGAGTCTCGTACATGCCAATCGCAACTAGGATGCTGAGGACTCGTTCCCGCTTCGCCTCCGTTGACATATGTGTGCCAATTTTAAGATTGGCCGCAAAATGCATCGCCTCTTTGACGCTGAGGAACGGCTGCAGCGTTGTGTCCTGCGTTATGAACGCCACATTTGGCTTGAAGGCCTTCAGATCACGCGGCTTGCCATTGACCCGTATTTCACCCGTGTAGCCAAAGGATCTAAAAATGTGCGCAAGTGTCTCAAGATTAGTATACAATGGGAAACGGTTCAAGGTGCGGGGTTACATTACGTATAGCCGGAGAGTATGTTGAGCAGCGTGCTCTTGCCGGCACCGGAGGGTCCAGCGATGACATTCAGCTCGCCGGATCGAAAGTGCCCAGTTAGACTCAGTAAAATGTCTTTGTTTTCTGCAAAAATAATTGGTTTGAGCAATCAATTAAATATCAATTTAAAAATATATATATAATTAAACAAAATAATATAAAATTATCAATAACCAGTAAGTTTTCGAGGAAACTAGTATTTAAGTTCGTGCAAAGTATCATTTCAAATTCTTATCGTAACTCTTCAGAAATCAAGCAGCACTTAGGAAGTTTAAACACACAATCCGATTATTATTAATCGTAGAAATCAATTTATAGGTTATCTAAGATATTTGTTTAAGTGACGCCTCAGTTCATATACAAATCGTATCTGCTTTTTATATAGCATTTATATTGAGAACGTTGATCTTATGTACAAAATCCTATCTAAAATATATCTGATAGGAACTAATAACAAGCATGCTATATTTACAATATCGGCAACATATAGTTGCCAAGCTGATAAGGACAGACCAATTAATGTTTGCCATTAGCGATTGATCGCCTTAATCGCCGGGCTGCAATGATAATGCCATAAAACACACACTGGACTTTTGTGGCATTTTGGAGGTTACAGTTACGATTTTATGGTCTTAATACATCGTAGCTGAAGGGAGACAGAGAGAGAGAGAAAGCGTGAGTGGTCGATAATCTATCGATTAGCTTGGCCAGGCATTTGGCCAAGACGGGACGAACTTATCGCGGGATTCGCGCCAAATCTTATCGCTTGCTCCCGTTTTACGAGCACAGGTGCATGACGCGACTCTATATATATATATATATATTCTTGCTGCCAGATGTTGAGCAAACAGAAAAGACCATATCGGCTAATCTGTTTATTGCACCGATCACGACCACTTGGCCAACAGAGCCGTTGACATGGCCTTGTGCTTGACATTGCAACTGCACAAACAACAAATCGTGCAGACCATATAGAAGTCGATCAGTTTTTAATCGACTATGACTACGACTATAATATATGGTCATAATCGAATGCTGATCCCAGTCATGCATTTAGTCAGGCCAATTCACTTACAGCTGCTTATCTCTTCTGCCTGCTTTGGTATTATTAGGTTACGACACTTTATTATACCCTTCATAAACAAGTTGGAGTGCAGTCAGCTGTTAAATATATAAGCTCGTTCGTTTATACATATAAAAACACCCTTGAAAATAGATATATTTCTTAAAAATAAATGTACTCTCAATTGAAAAGCTTTATCTTTACAATCGAGTCTTTTACTGTCATCGGAAATCGATTTGTATCGATATTCGTAAGATAAATTAACTTGATAAGTTATGTTTCTAGATCTAATAGTCTAAATTGACTTGTCTGTTGCTGTTGATCAAGAATATATATATTTATGGGATCAGAGTTGCTCTCTTCTATCTACTTTTGCACAACTTCAAAATCCCCATTTCCCCATTCTAAATGCGTTCCGGGTAGTAAGAACTATTTGTAGAGATGCAAACTGTATATTTGCTATTACTAAACAACTTAAAAACAACTTAAGCAAACGATCTTCAATACTTTACATAATATATAAAATCATGGCCAGAGTTCAACGAGTAGTCGACTTTTGTCATTTTTGTCGCATCAAGCTTACCACAAAAGCTCTATTCAAAAACACTAATTGTTGTAATGGATTAATTTAATCGGACATTTTTAAAAATTGGGATCAGTTTATTTTTGTTTTGTTTAAATGAATATAATTGCTTTGATCTTATGACACGCATAAACTGTCCCAGTTTATGATTATAAAAGTAAGGAAGCATAGATGTCGTGACTCATGTGAAAAGGCCACAGTTGAAGCTATTAATGATACTGCTGATAACTGGGAAAGACGAGGAAGATCGAATAAAAAATTAGAAAGAAAACACACACAGGAAAACACACTCAAGATGAAACGACAACAATAATAATAATAACAATAATAACAACAATAGCAATAGCAAAACACACAAATGAATGAGAGAACATGCATAATATTTAATGGATCTTAAGTGATATTAATTAAAACGTTTGCGACCTTTTCTTAATATATCTATTTTTTTTTTTAGGATTTGTTGCCAAGCCAACAATTGTTGTGCTTTATAATTGTAGTGTGGAATAAATGCATATTAATATATTGTGGATTTTCTATCAGTGTTTGTTACACATAACATATGAATTTGTAGTTGTTGTCGTTCATTTGGACACATTTTCAATGGTAATCGTTTGTAGCTGCCAGACGCTTTATAAAAAAAGTGTTTAGATAAGCGAATAGATAAGTTTCATTTTTTTTACGCACCTTATGGCCAATCGCAGACATAATGATTCACAGTCAACTCTGACTTTGGCACATGTTCAATTGCAGAGGAACATAAACTGCAGCCTTGATGACTCAGTCTGAGTCATGGGGCAATTGGCAGTATCTCTAATCGTTGACTGATCAAAACATCAATTAATACACAGCGCCTAATTATCATTGCCATTAAAGAGCACTATCTTTTTTTTGTTTTTAATATCAAACATAGTTTGACACAGTGGTTACCTCATCAAACATGTGGTCCCCAGATAACACCGAAATGGGTAATTAGGGCAAGAAATGTGCATTTATATGTATTGTTTATTATTTTTATTGTGTTTGTGTGTTGAAGGTCCCTTGATAAAAAAGAAGGAAATATTTAGAACAAGTGCTCACATGCCTATAAACATATGAATACACATTTCTAAGGGGTGCAACTGTTGTAACTCGGCAATCTTATCGGTACCCTTGCCAGGGGTATTATAATTGTATGTCGACTTTTTGCATTTACAGATTTTTGAAGGCATTATAGCAACATGTTTATTCATCAAATTATTTCGATTTATTGCATTTCCTTTTTCCTTTTAAACAAACAAACAAAGACTCTTTTATTTATGCTTTGATTGTGGTCTTCTTTCTTTGTTTGTTTTTCCAATCCATACAACAAATGTTGAACCAATTTTTTGCACTCAACAATTGTATAAAATTTGATCTTCATTTTTCAATTAAAACTTAAAAAGCATTAATATTGGAGTGTATTTTTATATACATATCGACAATAAATAAATAAATTAAAGTGCTGCGCTATTTATGCCAGTTTTCAGTTGTTTACCCATACTCAAATTTCGAAGAACTCAAACAATAAAATGTGGAAAAGCAAACCAAGACTTTTGTTTGGAATGAACATATAATACAATACTGAATAATACAACAACAACAAAGTATGTGTATACGGATTTCGATTGTTAGTTTTTTACTTAAAAAGTTGTCAATTCTCTTAAAAAATGATTGTTGCTTTGCATTATTATGTCAGGGTATTGTTTACTTCCGATGGAATTTAGCTGTGAGTTGAAAGACTCGGTTCTGCAAGGGAATATTATCTGATGAGTGCCCAGGTAAGCGCTTCTTTCCTGTTGTATTAAAGACACACTCACATCTTTCACACCTCAGTGGTTATGCAAATATTAAAATTACTTCCGCGAAAACCCATAAAAAAAACAAAAAAAAATCCATTAAATTGTCAACCTAAGTGACAGTCGTAACAAACTGATCATGTAACTTGTATATCGAATATATATTCTATATATAACTATATATATTTTACATTTTCAATTGGTACTAAAAATATCGACGTGCACTTTGATGCTTGACCCAAGCCCTCGAATATAGTTTTGATTCATTCAATTTGCAGCTTGTCAATAAAATTAAAACTTGAGTACAGTTTTGATTAATTCAATTAGCAACTTGTCAATAATATTAGTTTCCTTACTGTTCAGCTTAATCGTCTTTTGCCCATTACTCATTATTATCAGCTTTAAGTGTTTCTGTTTCTGTCTCAGTTTAATTTTCATTTGATTATAAGAAATATGTAGCAAAAATGCGTATATCATTTTCATTGGGAACTTTGAATCCGAGACAAGAACAAACAAACTAATATTATACGCCAGTTATATGATAATCCATTAAGTTATAATACAAATACGAAATATATATAAATATTGAGATACTGATTGCACTAATCAAAGCAATGGGAAAAATAAATGACAACAAAGAAGTTATTTGGTGGGTTCAAGGTCGAAAGAATAATTTGATATCATTATTGCTAGATTATGATTTAATATAATATATAAATTATTTACATTTAGGGCAAGAGCTTTGAACTATTAGAAACAGTTTAGAAATCACAGTTATATGAGGGCAAACTATATTTTATTTTTATTATTCTTTTAATCGTTCTCGTATGTAGCTACAGATCTAATTCGAATTCAAATGAACATGCAAATTTACATTTATTTATATATCCATATATATGTATATATTTTTAGCCAACTCTATTTAGAGCTTCTCCACTAATTTGTGCATATTTAGTAGGCAAATGAGCCGACGCGTTTGCTATTGGTATTTTTCTTCTTTTTTTTATCGGAACACGCATTGAAGCGTGACTGATATGTGGAGTTTAAAATGATAATGAAGAACCATAGTAACAATAACAATGAACATATACAAAATAGAGGGATAGGTTTAGTTGCGTATAGCTGATATAAATGCTCATAGCATAAGAGCGCAACTTATTAAAAACAAATATAATGTGCTTAAAACAGTTAGAATGTTTTAGTTGAATGAACTCAATTAGGAGATAATCTGAACCCAGCTGTAAAATATTTTAAATATGCTTTTGTTGGCTCCAGGTTAAGTGCTAAGTTTTTTACTTTTTATGGACTCGAATATAATTCGAAAATAATTCCTCGGGGGAAAAGTCACTAACCAATGAACAGGAGTTAAATATATTAAATATCTTAAGCGCAGTTTCACAAAGCCGAAACTAAAAACAACTGCTTGCATTTGTCGCAAGAAATATGAAGTTTTATCCATATTCATTGGTTCAGGTTAAAACTTCAACTAGCAACCAGTTAAATAGAGACCTTTTTATGTTTCTAGTATTATAAAATATATGATAATAATATCGCAACCGATTACAGATATATGGAATACATTGAGTACCATATAGGTTTTGTGGCTTATAAAATACGCCTCACATAATCATATCACAACGCATTACAGATACACACGAAGTTTCGTAAAACTTAATTAATATTTCCCGCTTTGATAAGGTGATTGACTGGAAAAACTTGTCGTTGTTACACCTTCATTTTTTTGGTTGAAACGTAGAGGGGGATTAGTTTTGCAATATTTTCAAATGTAGATTTATAATTTATTGTTTAGTATTCTTCGTATAAACAAAAGTTAATATTGCTCCTGGAATTCTTTTAAAACTGTCTATATATATATTTATAGAGAATGTTTTCCCTCAAATAAAGAACTATATATAAACAAACTTACCCGACTTGAAGAAACCAAATTTGGAGCTATAGCGCACATTATCGAATTGTATATCAATTTTCTTGATCGTTTTGTTCTGCTCGTGTGGGAATATGGAGTCAGAGGTGCTGCTTCCACTGTGCGCACTTGCCCCACTGTGCGCACTTGTCCCACTGTGCCCACTAAGGCACTCGTAGCTGTTCTGACTTTTGGCCGTGGGGCCAAAGCTCTCTGGTGAGGCAGTCGCTGTTAATCCCGTGCTCAAGGGTGTGTCATAAATGGAGGAGCTGGAGGAAAGCGCAATATTCTCCTCGGACTCAGCGAGGGGCGCATTGTAAGTTTTGCCTATTGTTGTCGGTGGTTGATGGATCTGCAGGGTCAAATGTGGCTGGTGTCGCTTTGGTGTAAATTTCTTTGCAGGCACAGGTGTTGTTGGACGGGCTGTTAGTGTTATTGTTGTTGCTGCTGCTGTTGCTTTGGCCCTCAGCTGTTTGTCAGTCGCTGTTGCAATATTTGTGTCGGAGCCGGCTTTGAGATTATTTAGCCGGATGACGTCACCGCCCGTAACAGTGGGCGAAATGCCGCTGGCCAAGCTCCAACTGGACATTTTGTTAAAATTCTCTCTAAATTGTTTTATTGCTGTTATTGTTGTTGTTTTAAAAACCTGTGCGTTTGATCATCAAGTACAGTTAGCTAATTTATTTAAAATAACACTTTTTAGCACCACAAAATTGTTTAATATTATTATAGTATTGAAAACACGCTGTTACTCTACATCTCTCTCTCTCTCTCTCTCTCTCTCTCTCTCTCTCTCTCTGCCGCTCTCTGTGACTGTTAAAGGCACGGCATGGTGAACACAATTTTGAATAAATTATATTCGCGCGAAAAAAAAATTGCTCACACAGTGCGTGCTTACCATGCACCACTTTTAGAAATTACTAATTTAAACAATTTTTTTTTTTGTTTTAATTTAATTTGATTTTGATTAGAAGCAAACAAAAACGACACACAATTATTATAAATGTATAGGTATTTACGGAATTTGCAATAGCGAGCGACCACTGTATATGCAAGCTTGTTAAGCTTATTTGTTTTTATGCCTGCTTCTTCTTTTCGATTTCGGATATGAAGAAAACGAAATGAGCGCGAGCCTCTTAAAAGCCGCGTGTATGTGTGTGGGTGTGAATGTGTGGGTGTATGTGAGAGTTCATTAGCTTCTTAGCGTGCTGATTGGCATGGACAAAAGAGAGAGAGACAGAGAGAGAGCAGGAGGCGATTGCAGCTAATGTTAAAGTTTTCTGGCACTGTTGCTAATCAGAACTTGCCCCACAAATAGCACAAGAGAGAAAGAGCAAACACCGTTTTTATTATTTTCGATTTTATTGGTATTGGCAGCAGCTGCTGTTTTTTTTTGTTTTTGTTATTATTATTATTGCGCCACACGTGTTGCACAATTACGTGAACTCTTTTGTTAAGCAATTCAACAAAAGCTCTTAATTTGTAAACATTTTCAAAAGCTGTTACAGCGATCCTGCCACTGTAAACACTTACTGCCAGCTCTGTTAAAACTAGACTCTCTTCATTACAGCTACAACAGTCCTGTAATTGTCAACAACAGCTCTGTTAAATACAATCTGGAATCTCTTTCAACCTGACGCTCTTTATAAACAAACACACGCAAACCGTTTTGCATATGCAATTCAGGCAGGCAAATTAATATTTATTTACACACACACTCATATTCTCTTTTATTGCAACTTGCCTTTGTGTGTTGCTCATCTTCTTCACACACACACTGACACACATTTTTGTATGCATGTGTATATTTTATTACTTGATTTGCTTTTGTTCTGTAAACCGCTTTTTTTGTAGCCGTTTTAATTCATTTTAATTGTTATATCTTTGAATTAAATTTCTGTATTTTTTTGGTTAAGTTTCGCACACATTTTCGCAGGGAATTCTTTTCTTCGCACCAGCTGATTATCACACACACATACGCATATTGTTGTCTATCTGTTGTGCGTGAGCACACATTCGCACAGTGGATCTTATTAGAAATGCTACAAATATTTTGTGGCTTATCGCGATTGTCGCAGTGATGTAAACCACAAATACTGCATTTCGATTGATTATTGGTCAAAAGTTGGTGATTAGACAGGCGCTGTTAGCACTGTTGTTATTGTTGTTGTTGTAACACAATCGCTGCTGATATGAAACTAATACAGACACATACACATACGAAAAAAAAACATGCTCCACACACACTCACACACACACACACAGGGAAAAAGAAACGGGGTCACTTACACCCGCACACTTAAATTACAATTTGAATAATTATTTAAATTATTTTTTATTACTCGAATTTCAGTGGTTCAATCGCCTTTTTTATTGTCTATATTCGTTTGGCTGTTGAAATGGCGACGAACGATCCTCAACGACCATTGACAAGGCACAGACTGTTTTCAAATACGAAAAAACTCAAAATTATATTCTACTTTTTTTGCCCATTATCTCTCGTGCTCATTTACACACTCTCGCGCTCTTTATCTCTCTCGCGCTCGTTCTCTCTGTTGTTTAGCAGAGGCGCACTCCGTGCGCTTATCAGTTGACTGAGACCCCTCGCAGTGGAAGGCAAACAACGCCACTGCGTTTATTTATAAAATTACTATGCCCTCTGCCGCTTTTGCAGGGGGTATGTTTTTCTGCCTGCACTCAGTGCATATTATGCTGTTGTTGTTCTTACGACGCATATTTTTTTTTGTAGTTCGAAGTTTGGACCGATTTTGTTTTTCTTTGTGTCACACTTTTCTCCTTTGTCCCAGTCCGAATTGCAGCAAAACAAAGAACGCAAAACTAGCTTAACCAGTTGCCATTGAAGAGTTATAAAGAGAGAGAGAGATAGAGCGAGAGTGAGAAAGACAGAGAAAGGCTGTCTTTGTCGTCTTAAAAACATAAATACTATCAGCTGTTTGCTGAATAAATACAAGGCAATTCAAATAAACTTTAGAATACATTTGCTAAAATTTTGAATATATTATGTACGTAAATTTAAGTTTTATTAATTTAACTTCGTTTTTATTATATTATTTGCTCAAAATAATAAACTAATTGGCGCCGAATTTAATATTATGTTATCGATATAACGTCAGCTATCGAAATACTGCAGCTGTTCTTAAAATTCTTTGATCTGGGGTGGTCACACTCATTTAACAGTTCGATGCGTATGTAAACTTAACAGCCTACACTAGGATGAGTGCTAATATCGCAAACGATATGAATTCACTGCAAATATTACCAAATAATTGTTGCAAAGCTTGATAATAATTTTATTTAAGTCTTTGGAGTGATTACAATATTAAATAATGCAAGTTGTTTGATAGAAAAGTGATTTGACTTTAACAGCAGCACAGGCACATCGATATTATAGTCAATATATCGTTTAGTTAGAATTTTAATCGGCCCACAGCTGTGCTCTGTGTCAATTTGCTACATTTTTTCTATCGAGAAGCGGCCGCCGACGCAAACACAAGCAAAAGAAAAAGGAAGAGAAAAGGGCAACAGATAAGAGATACGCTTGAAACTTTTGTATTTTTTATACCAAGCAAAAATAAAAAACACAAACGAAGATGACTGATTTGCGAAACGAAATGGACAGCGATCTGGATCAGAACTATTCGTTGAACAGCAATGCGGATCCCAAGAATATGCAAGAGCTAACAATTTACGTGAGTAATTTTTTGGCCAAACGACACAATTACAAAAATAAACTATGCAACAACAAATACAAAACCAACAAAAAATCTTAGGTGCAAAATCTCTTGCAGAACGTTCAGGATAAATTCCAAACGATGTCCGATCAGATAATCACACGCATCGATGACATGGGCAATCGTATCGATGATCTGGAAAAAAGTATCGCCGATCTAATGAATCAGGCGGGCGTCGAGGGACCAGGTCCAGAAAAATAAAATTCAATGGCTCTCCAACTGTCTCTGAGAGATGTAGAAAACGCCAAAGTGAAGCGCGGGGGGACATTTAAAAATATCAATTAGTGCAAGTGCCACGCCCCTTATCAGAATGAAAATGAAAAAAAGGCATCAGCAACTCACACACACGCATGCATATACATCGAAAAAAACTCACTTAACTAGAAAACTATAAAAAATACAATTCCAATTTCATTCATGTTTCATTCACCTTGCAATTGCTCTTAAACTGTACACACAATTCACACACACACACACAAAAGCCACCATTTTGCTCACCTATTTTTGCATAGTTTTAAGTTTGTCAACAACTAAAAGAAAAACCATTAATTTAAGTGAATTTTGCAACAATCATTGTTTTCCTGGAGCAAAAAACGGCACCAAAATTTGGTATTTTTGCCCATAAGTTTTTATTATAATTAAAGATCGAGAATTGTACACAAAAAAAACCATATAACGAAATTTTTAAGTGTAGTTCAGATTTGGGCACCTACATAATGGCTCTAAAACTACGGAAGTATAGATCTCTGGTTTGATATTTGAGGTCTAATTACGGACTCAATTTTTACAAATTTGATTTTTTCCACATATTGAAGTAATTAATTTTTAATGCCTTAAATGTAAAATGACATTTTTTTAAACAGTTACATTTATTGATTCATGTTTTAAACATTTTTGAGAGTAATATTTTCGAAATAATTTATGGATATTCTAGTCCAATTATTAATGGCAGTAAATATAGAAGATATTGATTTTTGAACGCAAAAAAAAAAAAATCGTCAGTTATTCAAAACTTTACCGAACGTTCAAAGAATATAGTATTTGAGATATTAGAATAATCGTTTTAAAAGCCATAAATTGTAAATTACTTTGTTTTCCGAGCTGTTCTATTTGTTAATTTGTATTTTTAATTTTTCGAAACATTTTATGGGTGTTTTATACCTATTATTAATTAATTTAATAAAAATATTAAATATTTAGATTGAGATACCAAGTGCATGGAAAAATCATCATCAGTTATTCAAAGGGTATATTTAATCATTTTAAATGACATCCCTTTTGTTGACAACAATTTTATTTATTAATGCATGTTTTCGACAAAACCCATAAATTATAAAATTCTTATTTATATATTGCTTATTAAAATCATAAACATGGTAGATGTTTATTATTTATACAGTTTATTAAAATCATAACCATTATAAGTGGGACCAGAAATATTTGCAGGCATATCAATTTCAACATTCTAGTAAATAATTGAATATAAACTCTTGTTTATATTTTGTGAGTCACAGCTTGTCAAACTGTATGGGGTGGTTTTCTTTTTAGGAACGCTTCGATTCAACAACGGTAACCAGGCGGTGGCGACTCCCAGTTGCCAAGCCAGCGTCGCGTTCCCTGCGTCGCCGCCTCAAAGTTACCTGCAACGGATGGGGGAAGGGTAGTGGGGGGCGGGGTAGGAAGGATATTTATGCCACCTGATTAGTTGTTGTTATGCAGACAAAAATTGTGTTTGATTATGATTATTTGGTTTGTTTATTTGGGGTAAATAAAATGAGGCGTGCATTTTGATTAGTTACTGATTGGATATGCCAGATATGCAAAGTATGAGTTGCGAGTTTGCTAGTTTTCTAGTTTTGTGGCACATGGAATTGCTTTTGCAACCTTACATGCGTTGCTGCCACAGCCTTAAACGGATGTTTAACACTCTGCCGCACCGCCTTGTGCGGCATGCCTGATGTGGTGGCAACAGCTACAGCTTCTTGTTGCTGCTGCAGGTCCTTATTGTTGCGCGTCTTGGCGCCGAAAACATTGTCACGCGTTGGCAACGCTTTTGTCGCCACGCGTTCAGCTTCATCATCGGAGGCACTGCCCGTGCCATCCCCCTCATCCTCCTCGGCACTCGGCTCGCTCTCCTAAAAATGGAGAGAGAAATGTTGCACAAATAACTGCCTAAAATTGGAGAGTTTAGATTAGTATACTCCATCCTCGTCCTCCTCCTCATCGTCGTCCTCCTCCTCCTCTTCATCCACGTCGCTGTCGTCATCAACAGCTTCGCTCGGCTCCGCTTTGTGGGCACGTCCAATGCCTGCTCCACTTAGATTCTTGCTGCTCCTGGACAACTTTTGTTGTCGCTTCAGCGGACTCAAATGATGATCCCGCTCCAAGCTGTCCATGGACTGCGAGCGCAGACCCTTCTTCAGGGCGGTCTTGTTGGTGGGTTCTTCTTTGGTTTTCATTAGCTTCTGGAACTGCAGAAAATCATCGCGTTCATCAATGTTGCACACATCATAATAGCTGGCACTGAGCACCTCCAACGCCTTTGTATGTTGCTTCATGGCAATCAATATGAAATCACTCAAAACTTGTTTCACATCGCGCAATTTTCGCTGCTCAAAATTGCTAATAATCTCATCGATTTCCTTGTTGGCTCGTTGCACCTCCATCTTCGTCTTGAACAGCTCCGAGTCTGCGGCGCTCTAGAGAATTGGTAGCTAAGCTTAGATATAGTTCATATATATATATAGCTGCAGTAAAAATTATAGTAATTCAAAAAATACTTAAAATAAAGTTCAAAATTTGAAAATGGGTTAGCTATAAGATTATTAACAACAATAAATTACTGGATACTAGTATACATTATAATAACAGTTGTTGCATAGTAGAGAAGCTTTCTTAGCTTTCCCTGGGATTAAATAATATTTGTAAAAACTAGATATGATGTCTGTATTATACTATGTTTCTCATTAGAAATAAAGTCTCCCAAGAATCGAAATTTTACTTTGGATTAACGTTAGAAACTAAATTTATAACTTTACAAGACAAATTCTCAATCGGGTCATTTTATCAGTTATTATAACATAATATATAGATAAGTATAGACTCACATTATTGGCGGCAAACTTGGATTTCAGTTCGAGCATTTGGCGCTGGCTGAGCACCTCCTTGTCCCGTGCGACGACAGCCAGGCGCAGATTATCCCGAGTGGATTTGCAGAGCTGCTCAAAGTGGGCCAACTCATTGACAATCTGTGGGATGACAGAAAAGAAACAGACCATATTTTTACAGATGTCGAACGTAGGATTGATTTGCCCGTTGTGAGATCAACTCAATTGCTTGACCTTAGACTGGGGGACTGCATCATAAATCAGTCCATCTTTGTTGGTTCTATATTTGCTAGCTGCGTTAGATATGAGCTGCTTAATCTGTGATTCCTGACAAATGCCGAACAGGCAGATTTTCCTTCTAAAATCTTCAGAATAAGAGCTAAAGAAGTATTCAGCAGATTTCTCGACTAATATCTTTCTGAGAGGAGCACTTCTTTTTGCGACTGTTCGGCTCTGGCAAATACTATACACTAATTTAAAGCAAGAGAGCTTTAAAATTGAGCGATCAACTTGGCTCGTCTTATAATAACTTAATTTTAGTAAATCTATCCCCATAAACCGAAAAATACTTTTCTAAATACTACGGTTGGCGATAATACTTTTTGGAGGTGCATTTCTTAATAATAGATAATATTTCTAAAAAATATATAAAATTTCCATATTCTTCGAGCAAGTATTTTGAAATGTTACAAATATTTTTCATTAATATTTAGAAATAATTTCCAAAAAGTCGAAAATTTCAGTAAATCGACATAAAATTAAGAGGATGATTATTCTTCTAGGCAGTCACAAATATTTCCCACTGTCTTTTCCCAACTGTAGCTCAACTTTTAGTAGCCAGCGTCTGTCTGTCTATTTGTCTGTCACCTTTAACTCAAATCGATGGACATTTATGTCCATATAATCGCCGGTTATTGTTAAGGCATTCGTGAAGCTCTTTAGTCCGTTGCAGAGACTCTCATTGATTTCCTCCTCATCCGCATAGTTTTTCACATTCTTGGCCAGCTCATCGTGTGCATCGCGATATCTTCAACAGATTTTAATTGTAAGTTATTAATTTGTCGGCAACTTTAATTTACTTTTGTTTACTTTGCCATTTTCCGTGTGAGCAGCGAAAATGCCGAGCACATTTCCATTAAATGTCGCTCGGTGAGATTTATGCGTTCGTTGATGATTTTAATGCGATCATCTTTGCTCGTTAGAAACGAGAACTTACCGCGTCGAAACATTTTAATTTCCACCTGCCCTTTTAATTTTTTGACTTGTTTTTCATAAACAAAAGCAAACAAGAAATCAAAACAAAACAGTTGCTAGGACAACGCAAGGTTGCTTTACATTTACATTTTGGTAAACTATCTACTTCTTATTAAAAAGTTGCAAATTATATTTAAATAATCTTTAAATAACAACAATTGCAAGGAATTTTGTAAAGCTTTTAAAGTCTTTATTCTACATAAATCGCTCCTGAGAACAGTTTGAGTTTCACATGCGCGATGAAAAGATGTATAACAGCCAACAGATGGCGCTAACGGCAACTGTTATTATTTTTCTTAGGTGGCGCTTTGATTTAGCGCCTGAAAATCAAATATATTTTCAGCACGCGTATGATTTCTTTAATGGATTCTACTGAAGCTTTTCCCAGCAACAACAATGTCAGGGTCAAGAGCATGATTTTTTGGCACTGTGTGTAGGCGGCGACATCAGACAGCTATGATAATTGAGTTATAATTAACAGCAAGATCCATGACAGAATGTTGCTCATCTTCACAGTGAGAGAGAGAGCGAGCGATCTAGTGAATGACCGAATGTATTATGTATGCATACAATAATTCATTACCTACCAATTCTCTGGTGCAGTGTAGAAAAAAAATAAAATATATTTGTAAACTTTCTGTATATTAATTATATATGTATATACAACGATTTGTGGAAAATATGTACTAGATTAGGAATCTAATTCGGAATAGTGTATTTTCGCTGTTGGGAATCTTCCCAGTAAGAGAGGGTGGCAGAGAGCACAAGAACAGAAGAGAAACAGTGCGGGCAGCTGCAAAATGTAATCAACTCGGTCTGGTTCGAAACTGCGACCTTGAAGTCAGTTTCTTTGGAATTTTGAGCATCTGCAGCAGCAGCCGCAAGAATGTCGCTGTAAGATTCCCCAAAAATCACAACTCAACTAAAAACAGTAATTAATTGTAGAATTTTAAATGTTTTTTACACTTAAGGCAAATCACAGCTGAACCGGTCAACAATAAAGCACAATAAAGTGCAGTCAAATGTGGATCCGGTTGACGGAGACTGCTTATAAATATATTTATACACATGCCTATACATATATATTTATATACAGTAGAACGGGAATACAATGGAAAGAGACAGCGCTGTGATCCCAATCTGGGCAACACAAAACAATAATAAAACTCAGAATTGAAGTTGCGTCTGAGTACCCTATAAAAAAGTTGCATTTAAAATATTTCAGTCTGTGAATTTATTAAAATAAAATCAATATTTACAACGCATCTAGCAAGGTGTTCAACGCAATTGCAAATTTCTTTTGTTAAAATATCTAATTGCTAAACAGGCTAATAGCAATGCCATCGCCTTTCAACTTAGGATATTTACTCGCGTCGCACATTCTTAAGCATTCTAGTTGATTCTTACGGTTTTTGCTGTTCTTCTTCGTAATGTTGTTATGCTTCATTTGGCACATTGGGAACGCTGTTAGGCGCGCGCTCTGCTCGCGACCTGCTATGAATTTCAATTGGATAACTCTTGATTAAGGGACACTGTTCGCTCTCTCTCTCTGCGATGGATGGACAGCCACTGCAACAGAGACGTTCACTTTTCCTTCTCAAGACACTGACGCATTGCTGACGTGCATTGGCATGCGTCTCCATTCTTAAGACGTTCCAAATTTCGATGATTCTTTTTTTGCTCTCTCTGTAGTCTCTCTTTGCTTGTTCTTTGTGTGCGTATGTGTGCGTGTGCTGCGTGACTTGGTATAAATTACGCCAAATTCGTACGCAACGGTTTAGTCCGAAAAATCATATAAAAGTTAACGGACGCGACGATCGCGCGTATCCGCAACAACAATAACAATAACAACAACAACGACAACGAGCAAAAATAACCGTAAATAAAAGCATTTGGCAAATTTAAACAACACTTGGGCCATTTCCGTTTGATGTTTATAAACAAAAAAATATTGCGTTTATTTGAAGAAATTAAATACATACATAATACCAAAAAAATCATGTGTTGAAAAGTGAAATTGGTTTGTGCCAAAAGTAATAAGTTCAAAAATAAATATAAACAGTTTCAAATGCGTGTGTGAACCGTGAAAATTAAATTTGTTTAGATATCATTTATTTGGAAAATTGCTTTAGCTTGATTAAAGAGATAAAACTATGAACATGAAATGCATTTAAATAGGATATAATTGCGAGATGAAACTCAAAAATTGCTTTAACTAAAGTTTTAGATAACATTTTAATAAATTGAATACACCAAAGAATTGCTAATCTATTAGCTAAATGTTACTTAACCAGATGTAATTAAAATCATGCCTTTAAATATAGTATGTAAATAAATCGTGACTCGCATTGTGATATAAATAAGCGAGAATCACTCAATCATAAGCAAATTAATTGTAAAGAGACTGTTTACCTGATGAATTTAAGTATTAATAATTATAGCAGATTACACTTGAGTGTCATGTAACTGAACTTTAAGTTCAATTCGTTTGTATAAAAGTTGTTGATGAAATCGTAATAGTTCATGATTCCATACGTTGAGTGTGACCAATTGAGAATAAGAAGCAGATGAAGCACAAATTAATTTGCTTACTAAAAAAGAAAAACAGAGAAAACAGTGTGACCTTGAACTCGGCAGTCAGTCGAGCAAATAACAAGCGATTATTTTGCCAACTAGCAATTTGACATAATTTCTCGCGGACACATTTGAGGCTAACACAGAAAAGCAAAAACAAATCAAGCAACAAAAAAATCTAAAGAAATACAAAATAAAATAGCGTAAAAAACGTGCAGCTAACGAAGCACAAACGACAATTGATTAACCCGTAAATGAGCAATTGCAAAAAAGCAAAATAAATAAAAAGGGGCACATGCAACGAATATGCACTACGAATTGCGCATTCGCCGCGTTTGCCGTCAGCACCGCTTACAGCAATGGCCATAAAAATGTATCCAAAAAACAATTCCCACAGCAATTGTTGATCATATAGAAAACATATATTATATTCGTATATTTTTAGATGAGCTATTTGTGCAAGCGGGATTATTTTATCAGTAGCAGGCAGCGTGTTGCAAGCACGAATAAAAAATATATATTAAATAATAGTTTATTTAATATGAAAATAAGTTTCGATTATTAAGCGATCTTGATGATATTTTTACAGGTCGAAAATGATATACCCTAAAATATAATTGACTACCTGTAGAACCTTGAATTTCTTCAAGATCGCTTAAGCATTAAAATCGATTACATATAAATTAAAAGACTAAATCTGTAAAGATGTGGCTTTCTTTGATATCGGAAATCGATATCGCAACTATCGACTAAATGAAACAAAGTTGGTTTGCGTTTTTTATTTTAAATCTTTTGCTCTGAGACTATCCATGATTGCAGATGCTTTCTTGTTACACAGTTTTACACACTTTACGGTTTAGGTTTAGAAACTGTTTTCTATTAATTTAATAAATTTTTACAGGGTATTTCCCCGTCTAGCACTCTTAGTGACATTAGTGACACTTTCGTTGAAATGTATTCATATCAATAACACTCGCGGCTCGGACAACTAATTGAGTTTGAGTGCTCGCTCTGTGAGTGTTGTCTCTCCCACAGTTTCACCTCAGTTCTGTCTCGATTCTCCCACAGTTCTGCTACAGTTCTCGCCCAGTTCTCCCCATTCTACAGTTATCTCTCTGTAATGCTCAATCTGCCTGCTCATTTCACTCAGTGATTTCTGTTGTTTTTGTTTTTCTTTTTGTTGTACATTGTGTTTATTTGTTCTTTCCTCAACACATTTCAGCGCATTTGACTATTGTTTGTCATACGAAACAGAACAGAATCGGAATTGAAATCGAAAACCGGTGTTGCCACAACAAAAAGCTTAGCAAATTGAAAAACATAGAAAACAAAGCATTTGCTTAACTCAAATAAACAACCAAAAACAAAAGTAACGTGTGAAAATCAAAGATGAAGCTGCTGTGCGGTTTTCTACTGATCGTCTTGGCTGTCACCGATGTTTGGTCTCTGCCAGGTGAGTTATAGACTTAAAAAAAAAAATTATATATATATACATACATGTACATATGTATACATATACAATGTATATTTATTATAAATTTTTTTAAATTTATATATAAATTATAAAAACAACTAGAATCTCGTTTAGCAATAAACAAGATTTCTTTGTATATAAATTGATAATGCTGCTTTTGGACCTTTTGAACTTCAGCGTCGACTTTGTCAATGCAAATTGATAAAGCAAATGACAAGGAATTTACTAGAAATTATGCGTGACATAATGATGCTCGATTTTGCTAACAACAACAGTTGTTGTTGCTGTTGTTGCAGGCAATCAGCAAACTACAAAAATGCATCCTGCAGATACAAGATACTAAATGGAAGCCAAGCAGTTGCCCCATCATCATCGTTGTCGTCATCGTCATCTTGGTTGCTGCCACTTGAATGCATAAATTGCAGGCAGCTAAAGTTGAAGACTCTGATTTCTGTGCCCCTTGCCCCATGGCAACGGCCACTTGAAGTTGTCAAAATCTTTTATCAGGCACAAGATATGCAAATTTTATGCATAATTCCGTTGCACAAACGACATTTTTTTGCCCTTCATATTTGCTTGTTGGTTTTTCCTTTAACTCATTGTTGTTGTTTAAACGCTGCTTTAATATTTGGCTCAAAAAAAGTAAATTAAATAAAAAATATTTTTGTTATCGCTTGTAGATGAGTCAGAACTAATCCAAACATATAAAACATATTTGTTCATGGTTTTTTCCCAGACCATTTGATTAATCAGATTAATCTGGCTTTGTAATTTATAAAAAAATATAATTATATTTGATAGGTGACAGAAATTAAATCATTATGCAACAGATTTGACAACTAATTAGCGTGTTTTTATAAGTAGTATTTAATAGTTGAATACAGTTTCACTAAAATATATTGTAGGTTTTCGATTATTATCAGCTGCTTTGTTAAAGTCTGTGCACGGCAACTACTTGGTTCTGTTGTGATTCTCCCTAATAAATGAGCTACATCATTTATAAGGAACAGGGTTATCTCTGAGTTATCTTTTCTCTAGTGTTAAACGTGTATTTCTTAGCCCGAGGGAAGTGAAATGGCTCGCTAGCCTAAGAACGACACTACTATCCACATTTTATACCATGAAGTCCTTAAAAATGGTAATAAGAGTTAATGCAGTTGTGTACAAATTTGAGAAATCAAATTATAATATAATATAAATTCTCATTTACCAAACGCATATCAAGTTTATTTCATTTTATCGATAACTGATCACATTTCTTGGATATGGATACAAATCGAGTTCCAATATCAATAAAATGAGGAATTGTAAAGATATAGCTTTCTTCTTGATATATAATATACCCAGACATATTATTGAGCAACTGTAAGAATTGCATTAAGATCACTTGAGAAACACAGATTATTCTCGTACCATTAGTAAGCCAATTGTATTAAACAGCTGACTGCAGGGTATCTTCTAATCGAGCGATCTCGTCTAGAGTGTTTGTTTAGCAGTTTTATTTAAGTCTATCTAACAACAGAGAAATGCTTTCAATTTCATCATGGAGCAGCTGCATTTCATAGTGCATCCACAGCGGCTGCTTTATGATTGTGTTTTCATTATTCGCCAGATCTCATATTGCACACGCACACTTTAAATATGATAATTTGAGTGCTTGGGATAAGTCTCGAGCTGAAAGCCAAGAAGCATTCATCAGTTTAATGAACCCACTTCTTGTGAATTGCAATTTCTTTCTTTACTTCTTTTGCTTTTGGCCTGATTTCTTCTTTTTTTTCTCCATTGCAATTTGTCAATTGTTGCAATTGCCAGCCTGTGGCAAGAGAGGGACATGGACAGAGAAATAGAGAACGAGAGAGAGAGAGAGATTGCGAGAGTCAGAGAAATTCTTTAGCAATTTCATTGCTGTTCCTTATGTTTTATTTTTATTTGGTTTTTTAATGCTTTTTTTGGTGGCAATTTATTTTATGAGTGTTGCCACGGCCAAATGGAATTGGGTTAATTGTGGACATAATTCGTGCTTAAGGCCTTTTTAATGTTATATATATCTGTATATTCTATATATATATGCATATAAATAGGTGCAAATAAAATAAATATATACAAATTGCAACTGCATGTTGTGCAAATTGCAGTCTAATTCACATAATTCATCATTTATTTTGCTATTTGTATTTTTATGTATTTTTTGTCAACTAACAAGTTGGCTGCGGCTTTGCATATATACCAAATCGCTTTATAATTATATTATGAAATATGATTTTCACCATTTGCGTTTTGTTTGCTTTATTTGCGACGCAATTTGTTTAATTTTGTCATATTTATTTATTTTTGCCAATTGTCGCTAATTTTACGTTGACCAAAAACGTTTTTTGAATTAGTTCTGTGAATTGCGGCTAATTAGCTCGGGGGTCGGCATTTTGTTTAGGTCAATAGTTTTCTTTGCGTGGGTGCAAATTGCTTTTTGCAAATGGGTTGGTCTTTAAATATACTCTGTTTTTGAAGTTAGAAAGAGTATATTGGGATTGTGAAGTTAGAAACAGTTATTTATACCCTCTGCAGAAGCACAGTTAAAATTGGTTCACTACGCCCACTGTGGGGCTGGAAAATCGATAACATCGACAAGTGCAAATCGATAAAATCACATATCGTACACGATTTGAAAGGCAGATTTAACAAATTTGGGGTGTAGATTTCTGGTGATGTCCTTCGAAGATTTGCGTATATTTCTCGTAGACGATCTCTTTCTCTTTTGGGTTCGGCATACATAATCCCAGGCCACGCCTCGAAGTAATATATCTTTCTCAATTTTCGAACTAAATTTACCAAAATTGGAAGATTTCTTAATAAATTTGTTGGCCAAATAATACAAATATAGAACTTATATCTGATATTTATTTATTTATAATTTCAAAGATTGTCAAAACAACATTTTTAAACATAGAAACAGCAAAATGAAAAGATACTTTAATGACAAGTATTTTACATGCAGCCACAGCCCCTCTCAAAGTGTTATCAGAGTATTTCACAGTCGGATATGCTTGCTGGCAACGCTGTTATTTGATTTTTGAATAGGTTGTTGCATGCATTTATTATTTTTCTCAATAATTGCATTCGTAATTTATTAGTTTAACTCTGGTTTGCGCTAAATAATTTATGATGTGATATTTCACTTGAAAATACGTAAAAAAAGTGTAATATAAATAAGTAAAGCAATAAAATATTTTAAATTGCAGCTGTGTGACTACTAAATAGTTGGTTTATTTTATTGTCTTTCATATTTTATTTGTTTTTTTTAATAAATCCGCAATAGAATAGTAAGGAAATTGCTAGCTTAATATTTATAAATCAAGTCTAAATTCCAATTTTAAATTGTATTTTCTTCCCATTTCCCAATTCAATGTCAATTACTTGCGCCATTCAATTTGCAGGGCGAATAAATCATTTTAAACGCCTGCAAATCGCTTGAGCTACAAACAACAGTTACATTTTAAATGCTAAACTGTGGAAAGTGTTTATGCTTTCAGTTGAGGGACCAAATTCGTTTAACATAATTAACAATTCATTGATTCAGTTTAAAGTGAGTTCCTTGAACTTGCGGCCATTTAGTTTCCACAAATCAATGCCAAATGCAATTTATAAATTTAATTAAAATTGTGCTTTAAACAATTGAAAATCAAATTGCTTACCCACTCGAGTAAATTCTATTTAATTATTATGCAAGCTCCTTTTAACAAGTTTTTCAACTAAAATTATATGAAGAACCTTAGTAGTGTGATTTCTTATATCAATCGAAGTAGAAACACTACTCATTTTTCCAAGATTGCAAAACAAAATGTTTCTGTTTTTTACACCATTAAGATATATGATGCAGTATTATATTTTCCTCCATATTTCAAACCTGTATCTGGCTGTTACTATAAACACTTTTATTTGCAATCGATTAAAGTTGATTGTTTTTGTTGCTGTCTGCGTGCATTATTTATACACTGTATAAATAAATGCACTTCATATAAAAATTCTAGGGAAAAGCTCTGGAATTGAAAGTAAGCCGCTTAGCAATTTAAAATAACAATTTACACCTTTGAACTTTATTCAACAGTTTTAAATATTTATTTTTAACACACAAACACACACACACACAAAGGCATTTCAAATGAATAATTCAAGGGTAAATTAAATGATATACCAGTTTTCGAAATGCACATAGAGAAAAATAAAACCCATAAGACACCCATTGTTGTTTATTACTACTGTGGCAGCTGTTTTTTAATATTTTTTTTGCCGGCGATTGAATGATTAATCATGATTCACTAGAAGATCTCTGTGTACAAATATTTAAGTTGACTGGCTTGAGTGTTGATATATAATAGATGGTAAAATAATAGGTTTTCTGTTTGTATATTGTTTCTACTTGGGTGGGTTCAGAAATTTATAGCTTTTGCCTGTAAAATATAATAAAATAACAATAGTTCGTCTAAAGAACGTAAAAATATTAATGTGAATATTCATAAGTCTGTAGACGATGATTATTAGAAAAGAGCGAGTCTATTAAAAATGAATTTAAGTATCTGAGTGATGACTGTTTTTTTTCGCGTAGCTTGAAAGCGAAATTAAAAAAATTCAAAATAAAAATTTCTCGAAATAATGAAGTGATAATATTTTTTTTCATTACCACAAATATCTTTGTAAATCGATTCTTGATAGCAATAAAAAACACAATTTTTAAGAATTATCTTACTCATCGCAGCATATATCTTGCCAAAATATTTGATCAGTTGATAACCGAGCTCCCTCCAGATCATATTTACTTTAGCTAATTTTGTGACTCATTGGTAAATATCAGAAAAATTGCCTAATCTGTTTTAATTGAGTAATTTTAGCTGTTTTCGGTTGGTGTTTCAGTTGCAATTTCCAGAACGCAACGTAAAATTAATAAACAATTTCGATAGATGAATGTGCTTTATCAGCTGCAATTT